AGATCTATTCAAATCTAGGTTTTTTGTCATCACTGGTGAGCTAATGACTCGGCCTAACTTCTCTGTTTGACTTTTGTCTTTAGTCAAAACATCTCGCCATTAGCCGCAAATGATCACAAGACTGTACAACAGTACGTCATTAACAAACGACATGTTTTAGAGTTTTCGGTTCTCCTGAAAGTCACTAAAAGTGCGATAACCTTGAACACGGTGGTAACAGCATTTCACCTCGACAGTATACCACAGTGCTTAGAGTTAATGTTGGATTTCCAAAGGACACTATCTACAACGTTTATACCAAGACCTCACACGTATATCCTGTCTGTGGTCAGTAAAGGTCAACTTGACCCGTCAGTGGGCAGAGCGGTGTTTCTAGGGACCGGTTCATATTATTAACATTTCGTTCGGGAGATGCATGTGCAAAATGTCACAGTAAAGATCATAGTTGAAACCAGTCTTCCGAGATTCCATTGAACTCGTGAAACATCCATTGCGAACACGTAATTGTATATTTTCTACATGGGCGGTGATATATTGACAAGGTCTGAAATAGATCACGATCACCGCCAGACACTTGTCTAACCTCGTCACAGAGGTCGTGATTGGGTGTTGACGGCGACAAGCTGCGGCGCTGGGGTTACCGGCGAGAGCGGAAGCATGGGCGACGACGACATCGCGAGCTGTCATCTATCACCACGGACATGCGCATAACGAGATGTACCGGAAGTAGATGACCTCTACCTTGAGAGCATTCTGTAAAAGATCTGTAGCACTATTCAAAGCAGGTCATTCTGAGACTGAAAAGGGTAATTTACAAGTCATATCTAATTACAATGCTGTTACCCGTGGGTTCGTTTCTGGCTTTGACATAGCGCGGATTTGTGGCCGACTGACCAGATATCACAATCAAGAATGTCAGATGTGTTTGAGTACCAGAGTCTATGATGAATTAGTGTCCTCCTGAATTTCGCTATGTTGACTGTATAATAGTGTCTCTATGTGACAATTTTATCAATATCAGGTCGTAGGTCGTTGACGTTTCCTGTTTCCATGAGAATACATGAGCATTGATAGCCGCTGGTGATCAGTGGCGTATCTGGGACTCAAACCACCGACAAGAATTTTGGCGAACCTGAGCATCGCAACCCAGCATCAAAGGGTCTTTAACTACTCATCCTCGATTTATATCAACTGTGTATATGTATCAAAGCTTAATCTGTGCGCCTTTTCAGACATAATTATGCTATAGCTTACATTTAAGACAAAACGCATTGATCAGCCTGGTTCCCTGCGTGCGCTGCGCTGGAGCTTCACTGAAAACATCAGCGCAGCAGACTCACGGACCCAGTCGGTTCATTTATCTCTTCCTGTTCTAACAAGTATATATGACGTATACCAACGACATCCTACACATGTCACTGTTGTCCATGTAACGGATATCGTCAGTCAAACCGCCAGGATCTCACTGACCATTAATTTGTACCTTTTGTTAGTCAGTTTAAACATGATACTGATTCACCTTCACAATTCATCAGCATCTTCAAATACCAACTCCCGGTCTGTCTCACAGTCCCTCAAATACATTACCTCCGCTTAGCCCTTTCTGCGATGCAAATACATCAAATGATGCACGTCTACATTTACCTCTGGTTCCAAATCTCCCAACTCATTGGGGTTCCTTTTCAATTTATAAAAATATATATTTCCAGAAACTGTAGGTCAGTCTATCCCCTCCGTTACAAGTCTTCAGTAGCAGCTACTCCAAGGAGACTCAGTGTAGTGGGAATCTGACATCCAGCATGCGAAGATGCAGTGGCTGTAGTTTGTTATTCTACGAACGCTTCATGCAGTTGGCTGAACTAAGGCGTTGGTACTGACAAGGGTCAAGGGCAAGAATGAGTGAGTGAGAATGGATCTACTCCGCAGTATTCCAGCAAGATCAAGGCAATGGACACCATACTTCACCCATATGGGGAATCGACCCCGGTTTTCTGCGTGACGACCGAACGCTTTAACCACCATTATAACAAAACATCTTAGCATATTACTGGTCAAACTTTAATACACGTCCACTTCACTGTTGAAAGAACCGGTTATCATAGTCCTTGACGTATTTCCAAATATTCAGGTCAGTCGATTATGTGCTTAAGTTTTAACTATTTCCAATAAATACAGAAAAGGATCCTTGGGACGATCATTTATTTCAGACCTGTCACGAAGAAACAAAATGAAAATGGATGAAAGCATGGCGCGGAAGGTCTAAAGCAACGTACAATCTCAGACTACCAGATTTCAGGGGATGGAGACTGAGACATAGCAAGAAACAGATGTGATCTCATGAACTTTTAAAGCAGGATTCAATGATTCCTTAAAGTAAGGGAGACCAGTCATCAGGAGTTTGCAAATGCAGCGATTCTTGCGCTCATTGAATGAATATGTATTTATATCATATTACCATTGAAATATTGTTGAAAAGGGATGAATTACCAAACGCTGAGCTTCAGGCACCAGTTAACACATTGACTTATTGTTTTGTTCGAAAACTATCCAGCTATTTGAACTTCATTTGCGATGATGGAGGTGTATCAAATATAGATAGGAGCACAGGAAGTTAAGGGTTTCATACAAAAAATAACTTCATCAGCACTTAGTTTTTAGTTTTCGTTTGTATCATTTTGGCAATGTGATGTGTCCTTGGATCCGTGTCTTGTTTAACGCCGCACTCGGCAATATGCCAGCTATATGGCGGCGGTCTGTAAGTATCAGTCTGAACCAGACAATCCAGTGATCAAAAGCATGAGCATCGATCTGCAATTGGGACCATGGCAGCGAGCCTGACCACCCAATCCCGTTAGTCGCCTCTTACAAGCATGGCTTGCTGAAGACCAATTCTAACTCGGATGTTCACGGGTGAGGTGCCCTTAATGTATATGATCATTACCATAGTATATATGCCAGATAGTTTAAAGGGCTTTGTCAGTTGCTTGGGAATATTGGGCATGTTAGTATAATGACTGGATGCGTTGGAAAGTGCCTTACAGACACAAGTGCAGTAATTTGTATCTTACACATCCGTAAATTGCAACGTTTCAGCATTGAATCGATACAGATTTGTCTGTTCTCACGATCACTGTGGAGCATTAATACATAACGGCAATTTACTACTCATACCTTGTGTGACCCTCCACATACAGGTCTCCGCCATACTTGAGAATTAGCATGGTCAAGACCATAAACAACAGTTGATAGGTGAGGTGAAATGGGGTTTAGCGTCATTTCGCTCATGCGACGTGTGTTTGCGTGGCTGCTTGTACTAGCCCAGACTTAAGCTGGTGTTATATAGTGCCAGCTCACAGTTAAGCATGATTACCCTACTCAGACACATTATACTGACTCCGAGCCGACCTGTCCTTGTACCAACAAGTACCATATTTAAACGCTTTTGGTATGACGTGGCCGGGGATCGAACCTGCGACCTTCCGCTCTCCGGGTGGACGCTCTAACCACTACACCACGGCGGTCAACAGTCGATATGGCCGTTTATTAACACTTCAGATCCATAAAATTTCGACACAGACGTAAGTGAATTTCATGCCGCTTTTTGCAATATTCCAGCAATATTACTGCAGGGACACCTGAAAATGTGCGTCCACAGAAGTAGGAACAACATATCTATAAATTATGATCAGGAAAGTAGTTTGTCAAAATCTGACCGAAGTTCATCACACGTTTGATGCCAGGTATCATCATATGGGTTCTCAGTCACAGACGTGTAGCCCGGAAGACCCTGGCTAGAATATTGATCTTCAGTAACCCATGCTTGGTGTAAGAGGCGACTAACGGGATCGGGTGGTCAGGCTCGCTGACTTGGTTGACACATGTCATCGGTTCCCAATTGCGTAGATCGACGCTCATGCTGTTGATCACCGGATTGTCTGGTCCAGACTTGATTATTTACAAACTGCCGCCATATAGCTGGGATATTGCTGAGTGCGGCGTAAAACTAAACTCACTCACTCACAGACGTGTAAGAATGTACAGAAACCTGCATAGCATAGCTCACTGTCATAATGCTGATCCTAAGCTTTTCTATATTGTTCAGAGGTGCACCTGATAATACTCCACCTGTGTCATGATGAAGGGTTGTGTGATAAAGTATAATCGAACATGAGACAGACAAACCAATGGTAGGTAGTATTTGGAACATCCCAAGCTGCAGATCAAGTCAAAGAGTATGAACATGTGAGCCTCCTTCATCAACAACAGAAACCTTGACACCTATTCTCACTGGGGTCTCCACCCCTCCACAGAGCTCCAGAGCTGATCCTAAAGAGAATTGAACCACTTAAGTGTGTGTTACAAGATGTGCAGGTATGATTATCAAAAACATTTTCCAGTTCTATTAATACTCAAGAGAGCGTCTACATCCACTCTCAAGGCATCTTGCATATCACACGTTTCTCTTGGCTTCTCTTCAGTCTTAATGTCCATGTTGGAACGTTAGCATGATCCCCCTGGCTTCAGCACTGCTGCCTCTGAATACCATCAGACAGGGCATTGGCACCCCTTTAAATGCTTTGGTGTCAGATCTTTCCTACCTAAATAACACTGTCTGACCCCTCCAGGCCTTCACAGACTTCTACTTCAAGTGAGTTTTGCAAATCATCAGCATGCTTCCACCAATTCCCCATCACTGCTGTTTTGCAGGCCCAGATATTCCATGGGAGCAGAACCAGTGGTTGAAAACATGAGCAACATTACAAACCATGTGGTTATAATGACACCCAATCAGTTGAGTTGAAGAGTCTGAACACAGGGGCCTTCCACAAAGTCATCAATGGTGACCATACCTCCCATATATGGACATAGACTTACTACTGTGGTAGCTCTCAAATGTATTTTTGGAACAGGTCCCAGGTACAGTTACCTCCCCTCCGACAACCAGCAGCAGGGACCTGGGAATATTCTGTTTCTGGTTTGTTCACACAAAACATTTGGCATAACTGAAATAGACATATTTCGCACATATTTTCCAACACATTCATTCAACACAAGATTGGACAGAGCTCAAGAATTAAGCGATAACACAGAAAGTCCTCTTCTCCCTTTTGACACGCTCCCTCTTCTGGAAGAAGGTCCCGCTATGGCTGATGGGCTGTGTGCCGGGTGTGTTGGACAAGATGGCTTCCATCACATGGTGTTGTTTGGTGTACATGGAGATGCCTAGGGGCGTGAGTCCCAGCTGGAAGTACATCAGCATGGTGTCAGTCTTTGTTTTCCTCAATGTCTACACTGCATCACTCCTCACTAACAAAATATGTCTAACATTGCCACACTCTGACACACATTTTATCTTATGTATTCCAATTGCAATTCATCTGGTTAAGTCTACAATGGAAGTATGTTCATCTCCTAAATAATTTGGGAATATTCATGCATGACTGTATACATGGTGAGACAGGCGCAAATCTAAGAAGGATCTAAAAAAGATATGAGAGAACTTCTGTGGTATTCTTACTCATGAAAACATTAAACCTATACTTTGTACAAACATTACAAGACAACAGGTGTCTAATAGTTGGCACAACACAGGAGATTTAAATTGGTAAAAACATAATAATCTGTTATATATAGCCATTCTTGAGGCCAATATTCTAAACTGAAGAATGAGCTAAGGCTACAGTATGTTTGTTGTCTAACAGGGATACTCCAGCTATATGACGGCAGTCTGTAAATAATTGAGTCTGGACCATACAATCCAGTGATTGATATGTTACAATGGTCGTCACCTGTGAATGTAGAGTTGGGTCCGCCCCCACCCTCAGCAGCATCTCAACAACGTCCACTTGTCCTTGTTGGCAAGCCAGATACAGGGCAGAAAATCCTGCCTGTAACACAGACAACATAACATCACAACAACATCCACATGTCCTTGTTGGCAAGACAGATACAGGGCAGAAAATCCTGCCTGTAGCACAGACAACATAACATCACAACAACATCCACGTGTCTTTGTTGGCAAGCCAGATACAGGGCAGAAAATCCTGCCTGTAGCACAGACAACATAACATCACAACAACATCCACGTGTCTTTGTTGGCAAGCCAGATACAGGGCAGAAAATCCTGCCAGCAGCACAGACAACATAACATCACAACAACATCCACGTGTCCTTGTTGGCAAGCCAGATACAGGGCAGAAAATCCTGCCTGTAGCACAGACAACATAACATCACAACAACATCCACATGTCCTTGTTGGCAAGCCAGATGCAGGGCAGAAACTCCTTCCTGCAGCGCAGACAGCATAAGGTCTCAATACCTCCTACAGAGTAATATTTTATTAATCAAAACAGGCTTCCAAAGTGGAAATCGCTGTAACTTCACATCATTGTGACATCATCAGTTACCATGACATCACAATGAAAGTACATCACTTAAGATCACTGTTACCTTTGCTTTTTTAGCTCAAAACACTAGTTATTACTGTTCACAAACTAAACAGGTTGTAACAAACATTAGTTATTACTGTTCACAAACTAAACAGGTTGTAACAGACATTTTGGATGATAATTAGATTCACACACTTTCAACATTACAAGTAACTTCTTGTCAATAAAGTTAAATGGAGTTTAATTTTTTGATCATTTCATGATGACATATTTGATATCAAAAAGAAACTGTACACATAATTTATTAAGCCAATTAAGCCAGTGACAGTTTTAAATGAATCTACTCTACAACAGATTTGATCTGGAAAATGAATGTAAAACACCAGGAAAGAACAGTGATTTATCTAGGATTTCAAGCTAGGTGCCTTTGCCTGGAATATTGGGTAAAATATTGTGTTACTGACAAAAATTGAACATTTTTAATTCACTACCACCACCTTTTCACATAATTTGGGAAATTATTAATTCAAATTCTAAAGCAGCCTCTGGACACATCTAGTTCAATCCCTGATTAATTTATAGATTTTCAAATACTAGTATTTATTTTAATAATGAGAATAATAATCTTTAAATCTAGAGTTATTCCTCCAATACATCAAGTGAAATCAAGCCCGACCTAGAAAACAGCCTCGAACAGTCAAAGTTACTTATCGAGACAACCGAAGGCCAGCTAACACTGAAAGACTCTCCTCACCTTGGTTTGTTTCTCAAGGTCACCACGGCACTAAAAGACTCTCCTCACCTTGGTTTGTTTCTCAAGGTCAACACCGTCAATGAAAGACTCTCCTCACCTTGGTTTGTTTCTCAAGGTCAACACCGGCACTGAAAGACGCTCCTCACTTTAGTTTGCTTGTCTAGGTCATTACCAGCACTAAAAGACGCTCCTCACCTTGGTTTGTTTGTCAAGGTCAACACCGGCACTGAAAGACGCTCCTCACCTTGGTTTGTTTGTCAAGGTCAACACCAATACTGAAAGACGCTCCTCACCTTGGTCTGTTTGTCAAGGTCAACACCGATACTGAAAGACGCTCCTCACCTTGATTTGTTTCTCAAGGTCAACACCGGCACTGAAAGACGCTCCTCACCTTGGTTTGTTTGTCAAGGTCAACACCGGCATGGACCAGGAAGTCAACTGTGTCTGCATGACCTGCGAAGCTGGCACAGTGGAGAGGGGTCAGCTGTCTCTGTGGAAACAGATATGAGGTCAGAGGGTGATGTATTTACAGCATTCATCATCTCTGTCACCAAGGCAATACCCAGACCTGAAGACATAGGACACCTCTCTATTCACTGCAGCAGGTACAAACTTGGGGTCTGCTAACTGCACTTCCATTTCTACCAACAAGAAAGGTCTACTGCACTCAGCTGATATAGAGGCTTTGACCAAAAGGAACTGTCTACTTACTTCAGCTGGTACAGGGGTGTTCATCAACAAGAATCTACTTACTGCAGCTGGTACAGGGGTGTTCATCAACAAGAATCTACTTACTTCAGCTGGTACAGGGGTGTTCATCAACAAGAATCTACTTACTGCAGCTGGTACAGGAGTGTTCAACAACAAGAATCTACTTACTTCAGCTGGTACAGGGGTGTTCATCAACAAGAGTCTACTTACTGCAGCTGGTACAGGGGTGTTCATCAACACGATTCTACTTACTGCAGCTGGTACAGCGGTGGTCATCAACAAGAGTCTACTTACTGCAGCTGGTACAAGAGTGTCCATCAACAAAAGGTGTTCATCAACAAGAATCTACTTACTGCAGCTGATACAGGGGTGTTCAACAAAAATCTACATACTGCAGCTGGTACAGGGGTGTTCATGAACAAGAGTCTACTTACTGCAGCTGGTACAAGAGTGTTCATCAACAAGAATCTACTTACTGCAGCGGGTACAGGGGTGTTCAACAACAAGAGTCTACTTACTGCAGGTGGTACAGGGGTGTTCATCAACAAGAGTCTACTTACTGCAGCTGGTACAGGGGTGTTCATCAACAAGAATCTACTTACTGCAGCTGGTACAGGAGTGTTCAACAACAAGAATCTTCTTACTTCAGCTGGTACAGGGGTGTTCATCAACAAGAATCTACTTACTGCAGCTGGTACAGGAGTGTTCAACAACAAGAATCTACTTACTGCAGCTGGTACAAGAGTGTTCAACAACAAGAGTCTACTTACTGCAGCGGGTACAGGGGTGTTCATCAACAAGAGTCTACTTACTGCAGCTGGTACAAGAGTGTCCATCAACAAAAGGTGTTCATCAACAAGAATCTACTTACTGCAGCTGATACAGGGGTGTTCAACAAAAATCTACATACTGCAGGTGGTACAGGGGTGTTCATCAACAAGAGTCTACTTACTGCAGCGGGTACAGGGGTGTTCATCAACAAGAGTCTACTTACTGCAGCTGGTACAGGGGTGTTCATCAACAAGAGTCTACTTACTGCAGCTGGTACAGGGGTGTTCATCAACAAGAGTCTACTTACTGCAGCTGGTACAGGGGTGTTCAACAAAAAGAGTCTACTTACTGCAGCAGGTACAGGGGTGTTCATCAACAAGAGTCTACTTACTGCAGGTGGTACAGGGTGTTCATCAACAAGAATCTACTTACTGCAGCTGGTACAGGGGTGTTCATCAACAAGAGTCTACTTACTGCAGCTGGTACAAGAGTGTTCATCAACAAGGATCTACTTACTGCAGCTGGGACAGGGGTGTTCATCAACAAGAGTCTACTTACTGCAGCTGGTACAGGGGTGTTCATCAACAAGAGTCTACTTACTGCAGCTGGTACAAGAGTGTTCAACAACAAGAGTCTACTTACTGCAGCTGGTACAGGGGTGTTCATCAACAAGAGTCTACTTACTGCAGCTGGTACAGGGGTGTTCATCAACAAGAGTCTACTTACTGCAGCTGGTACAAGAGTGTCCATCAACAAAAGGTGTTCATCAACAAGAATCTACTTACTGCAGCTGATACAGGGGTGTTCAACAAAAATCTACATACTGCAGCTGGTACAGGGGTGTTCATCAACAAGAGTCTACTTACTGCAGCTGGTACAAGAGTATTCATCAACAAGAATCTACTTACTGCAGGTGGTACAGGGGTGTTCATCAACAAGAGTCTACTTACTGCAGCTGGTACAGGGGTGTTCATCAACAAGAGTCTACTTACTGCAGCTGGTACAGGGGTGTTCATCAACAAGAGTCTACTTACTGCAGCTGGTACAGGGGTGTTCAACAAAAAGAGTCTACTTACTGCAGCAGGTACAGGGGTGTTCATCAACAAGAGTCTACTTACTGCAGGTGGTACAGGGTGTTCATCAACAAGAATCTACTTACTGCAGCTGGTACAGGGGTGTTCATCAACAAGAGTCTACTTACTGCAGCTGGTACAAGAGTATTCATCAACAAGAATCTACTTACTGCAGGTGGTACAGGGGTGTTCATCAACAAGAGTCTACTTACTGCAGCTGGTACAGGGGTGTTCATCAACAAGAGTCTACTTACTGCAGCTGGTACAGGGGTGTTCATCAACAAGAGTCTACTTACTGCAGCTGGTACAGGGGTGTTCAACAAAAAGAGTCTACTTACTGCAGCAGGTACAGGGGTGTTCATCAACAAGAGTCTACTTACTGCAGGTGGTACAGGGTGTTCATCAACAAGAATCTACTTACTGCAGCTGGTACAGGGGTGTTCATCAACAAGAGTCTACTTACTGCAGCTGGTACAAGAGTGTTCATCAACAAGGATCTACTTACTGCAGCTGGGACAGGGGTGTTCATCAACAAGAGTCTACTTACTGCAGCTGGTACAGGGGTGTTCAACAACAAGAGTCTACTTACTGCAGCTGGTACAGGGGTGTTCATCAACAAGAGTCTACTTACTGCAGCTGGTACAGGGGTGTTCATCAACAAGAGTCTACTTACTGCAGCTGGTACAGGGGTGTTCAACAACAAGAGTCTACTTACTGCAGCTGGTACAGGGGTGTTCATCAACAAGAGTCTACTTACTGCAGCTGGTACAGGGGTGTTCATCAACAAGAGTCCACTTACTGCAGCTGGTACAAGAGTGTTCAACAACAAGAGTCTACTTACTGCAGCGGGTACAGGGGTGTTCATCAACAAGAGTCTACTTACTGCAGCTGGTACAGGGGTGTTTATGAACAAGAATCTACTTACTACAGCTGGGACAGGGGTGTTCATGAACAAGAATCTACTTACTGCTGCTGGTACAGGGGTGTTCATCAACAAGGATCTACTTACTGCAGCTGGTACAAGAGTGTTCATCAACAAGAGTCTACTTACTGCAGCTGGTACAGGGGTGTTCATCAACAAGAATCTACTTACTTCAGCAGGTACAGGGGTGTTCATCAACAAGAATCTACTTACTGCAGCTGGTACAGGGGTGTTCATCAACAAGAGTCTACTTACTGCAGCTGGTACAAGAGTGTTCAACAACAAGAGTCTACTTACTGCAGCTGGTACAAGAGTGTTCAACAACAAGAGTCTACTTACTGCAGCAGGTACAGGGGTGTTCATCAACAAGAGTCTACTTACTACAGCTGGGACAGGGGTGTTCATGAACAAGAATCTACTTACTGCTGCTGGTACAGGGGTGTTCATCAACAAGGATCTACTTACTGCAGCTGGTTCAAGAGTGTTCATCAACAAGAGTCTACTTACTGCAGCTGGTACAGGGGTGTTCATCAACAAGAATCTACTTACTTCAGCAGGTACAGGGGTGTTCATCAACAAGAATCTACTTACTGCAGCTGGTACAGGGGTGTTCATCAACAAGAGTCTACTTACTGCAGCTGGTACAAGAGTGTTCAACAACAAGAGTCTACTTACTGCAGCTGGTACAAGAGTGTTCAACAACAATAATCTACTTACTGCAGCTGGTACAGGGGTGTTCATCAACAAGAATCTACTTACTGCAGCTGGTACAAGAGTGTTCAACAACAAGAGTCTACTTACTGCAGCTGGTACAGGGGTGTTCATCAACAAGAGTCTACTTACTGCAGCTGGTACAGGGGTGTTCATCAACAAGAGTCTACTTACTGCAGCTGGTACAAGAGTGTTCAACAACAAGAGTCTACTTACTGCAGCTGGTACAAGAGTGTTCAACAACAAGAGTCTACTTACTGCAGCGGGTACAGGGGTGTTCATCAACAAGAGTCTACTTACTGCAGCTGGTACAGGGGTGTTTATGAACAAGAATCTACTTACTACAGCTGGGACAGGGGTGTTCATGAACAAGAATCTACTTACTGCTGCTGGTACAGGGGTGTTCATCAACAAGGATCTACTTACTGCAGCTGGTACAAGAGTGTTCATCAACAAGAGTCTACTTACTGCAGCTGGTACAGGGGTGTTCATCAACAAGAATCTACTTACTTCAGCAGGTACAGGGGTGTTCATCAACAAGAATCTACTTACTGCAGCTGGTACAGGGGTGTTCATCAACAAGAGTCTACTTACTGCAGCTGGTACAAGAGTGTTCAACAACAAGAGTCTACTTACTGCAGCTGGTACAAGAGTGTTCAACAACAATAATCTACTTACTGCAGCTGGTACAGGGGTGTTCATCAACAAGAATCTACTTACTGCAGCTGGTACAAGAGTGTTCAACAACAAGAGTCTACTTACTGCAGCTGGTACAGGGGTGTTCATCAACAAGAGTCTACTTACTGCAGCTGGTACAGGGGTGTTCATCAACAAGAGTCTACTTACTGCAGCTGGTACAAGAGTGTTCAACAACAAGAGTCTACTTACTGCAGCTGGTACAAGAGTGTTCAACAACAAGAGTCTACTTACTGCAGCTGGTACAGGGGTGTTCATCAACAAGAATCTACTTACTGCAGCTGGTACAAGAGTGTTCAACAACAAGAGTCTACTTACTGCAGCTGGTACAGGGGTGTTCATCAACAAGAGTCTACTTACTGCAGCTGGTACAGGGGTGTTCATCAACAAGAGTCTACTTACTGCAGCTGGTACAAGAGTGTTCAACAACAAGAGTCTACTTACTGCAGCTGGTACAAGAATGTTCATCAACAAGAGTCTACTTACTGCAGCTGGTACAAGGGTGTTCAACAACAACAGTCTACTTACTGCAGCTGGTACAAGAGTGTTCATCAACAAGAGTCTACTTACTGCAGCTGGTACAAGGGTGTTCAACAACAAGAGTCTACTTACTGCAGGTGGTACAAGAGTGTTCATCAACAAGAATCTACTTACTGCAGCTGGTACAAGAGTGTTCATCAACAAGAGTCTACTTACTGCAGCTGGTACAAGAGTGTTCAACAACAAGAGTCTACTTACTGCAGCTGGTACAGGGGTGTTCATAAACAAGAGTCTACTTACTGCAGCTGGTACAGGGGTGTTCATCAACAAGAATCTACTTACTGCAGCTGGTACAGGGGTGTTCAACAACAAGAGTCTACTTACTGCAGCTGGTACAAGAGTGTTCAACAACAAGAGTCTACTTACTGCAGCTGGTACAAGAGTGTTCATCAACAAGAGTCTACTTACTGCAGCTGGTACAGGGGTGTTCATCAACAAGAATCTACTTACTGCAGCTGGTACAAGAATGTTCATAAACAAGAATCTACTTACTGCAGCTGGTACAAGGGTGTTCAACAACAACAGTCTACTTACTGCAGCTGGTACAAGAGTGTTCATCAACAAGAGTCTACTTACTGCAGCTGGTACAAGAGTGTTCATCAACAAGAGTCTACTTACTGCAGCTGGTACAAGGGTGTTCATCAACAAGAGTCTACTTACTGCAGCTGGTACAAGGGTGTTCAACAACAACAGTCTACTTACTGCAGGTGGTACAGGGGTGTTCATCAACAAGAGTCTACTTACTGCAGCTGGTACAAGAGTGTTCATCAACAAGAGTCTACTTACTGCAGCTGGTACAAGGGTGTTCAACAACAAGAGTCTACTTACTGCAGGTGGTACAAGAGTGTTCATCAACAAGAATCTACTTACTGCAGCTGGTACAAGAGTGTTCATGAACAAGAGTCTACTTACTGCAGCTGGTACAGGCGTGTTGAGCTGCAAGAGCTGCGTGTGAAGGAAGTTAGTGTTGCCCTTGCGAGCCTCCTCAAGGATGAGTCTATGGACATCGGAACTCAGCTGGTCCACACATGCAACAGGACAAACTATACCATCAACATGACCAACTAATCCAGATAGAACATACTCAAGTGTTCTGCAGCTCACTTGAATGATTCTTGTATATGTATAATGCTTGATGATATTGGTCACACTGCAAAGGTTAACCAGGAAAAAAAGGAGCCCAGGATACTTACACATAACAGACATTCTAACTGATTGTCTATTCTAACATGACACATGTCATTGGTTCCCAACTACGCAGATCGATGCTCATGCTGTTGACCACTGGATTGTCTGGTCCAGACTCGATTATTTACAGACCGCCACCATATAGCTGGATTATTGCTGAGTGTGGCGTAAAAGTAAACTCACTCACTCACTCTATATCAGATTGGAACTCTTTGAGTAATTTTAGAGCTGACACTTGTGGGATCATATTCAAACAATGATAGTTTCACAGAGCACAAAACATATTGACGGTGCAGCAATATATTAAGCATGTGAGGTTGATATCTTGATAAGAAAAATTAGTTTATGATGGTGTCTTCTGCCAAACCAGGTGAGATTAAGGGAAAATGAGACGAACATCATGAGAGTGATTAATTCTCTTATATGTGTCATGTGGCTGCTACTACAAGTATTGACTTCTGACAATTTTACAGTTCTAGCACACAAATATAATACTGCAGTGTCAGATTGCTAACCCTCTCAGACAAAGTGTACAGATTCTCAGGCCACCAGTCCTGGTGCTATCTCCTTACCGCTACAGGTATCTCCAACATCATAGTACACTTATACAGCTACTAAACACCCTACCTTTCTGATACTGTCAAACTCCTCCATCTGCTGTGAGAGGGAAACTTCACCAATAGCTGTCAATATCTTCGACTGGACCTTCTCTGCAATTTCTTCCACATAATTCATTTTCTGGAAATAATTACACTTATCTGAATATGAAAAATGTGTTCAAAGAAACAACCCAGAAGCTCAGGTCTCAACTTTAAACTAAAAACAAGCAAAAACAGACAACCCTGTCCAAGAAATGCGTTAGGAAATACTAGACAAAGCAGAACAATTACACTTTTAAAGCAACTGAGATTCTAGTCAGCATGCCAGTGTCAAAATAGTAAAAGATACTATCAGGGTATTGTTAGGTTCAATTGTTATCCAAAACTTTTAAAAATGATAATTATTTCTTCATAAAAAAATACCAATTAAAAGATGGTCAAAATAAGCATGTTTTCAATCTAACAACCTTACTATATTTCATTTATTTTGGTAATTATGCATGACAATATCTAGGACAAGTTCATCTGTACCACAAAAACAGAACACTCTCCAGCCAACTTCCTGTTCCTGCTTGACCCCAACTGCCCTACCTGTCCTGACGGTGTGAAGGGTCCCAGTCTGTTACACCACATCAGCAGGGTGTTGAGGGCAGCTACACACCGCTCCTGCACAGCAACATCAGCACAGATGAAGTCACCCTGAAAACAGAACAGTCATCAGGAAATGGTCATATATACGAGTAGTGTCAGGTGTTTCCAAATCTAGTGACAGACGTCAAGTATTAGCCTATGCATATGGGATACAGTGACATGCGTCAACCATAGTAGAGAGCCTGATCTCCTCATATCATGTTATTCGCCTCTTAAAACACATGAAGATCAGTTCTAACACGTCGGTGTAACACATACTTACTTTGATAGCTATATCAGGATCTGCTCCATGAAGAAGCAATGTTTCAATGAACGCTGCTTGGTTCTCCAGACAGGCAATGTACAATGGAGTCATGCCATCCTGAATGTAGGAAACACAGGTTAACACAAAATCAATGAACTTGAAGTATGCAGAAAACACAGAGTAGGCTGACAAGAATGTGGCTTAACAATGGACTGAGAACCTTTGCACCTCCCCTCTCCATTCATCATAACTTCAGGCCAGTCAAGGGCACAATGGATTGAGAACCTTTGCACCTCCCCTCTCCATTCATCATAACTTAAGGCCAGTCAAGGGCACAATGGACTGAGAACCTTTGCACCTCCCCTCTCCATTCATCATGACTTAAGGCCAGTCAAGGGTACAATGGACTGAGAACCTTTGCACCTCCCCTCTCCATTCATCATAACTTAAGGCCAGTCCAGTCAAGGGCACAATGGACTGAGAACCTTTGCACCTCCCTCTCCATTCATCATGACTTAAGGCCAGTCAAGGGGCACAATGGACTGAGAACCTTTGCACCTCCCTCTCCATTCATCATAACTTAAGGCCAGTCAAGGGTACAATGGACTGAGAACCTTTGCACCTCCCCTCTCCATTCATCATAACTTAAGGCCAGTCAAGGGCACAATGGACTGAGAACCTTTGCACCTCCCCTCTCCATTCATCATGACTTAAGGCCAGTCAAGGGTACAATGGACTGAGAACCTTTGCACCTCCCCTCTCCATTCATCATAACTTAAGGCCAGTCAAGGGCACAATGGACTGAGAACCTTTGCACCTCCCCTCTCCATTCATCATGACTTAAGGCCAGTCAAGGGTACAATGGACTGAGAACCTTTGCACCTCCCCTCTCCATTCATCATAACTTAAGGCCAGTCAAGGGTACAATGGACTGAGAACCTTTGCACCTCCCCTCTCCATTCATCATAACTTAAGGCCAGTCAAGGGCACAATGGATTGAGAACCTTTGCACCTCCCCTCTCCATTCATCATAACTTAAGGCCAGTCAAGGGCACAATGGACTGAGAACCTTTGCACCTCCCCTCTCCATTCATCATAACTTAAGGCCAGTCAATGGCACAATGGATTGAGAACCTTTGCACCTCCCCTCTCCATTCATCATGACTTAAGGCCAGTCAAGGGCACAATGGATTGAGAACCTTTGTACCTCCCCTCTCCATTCATCATAACTTAAGGCCAGTCAAGGGCACAATGGATTGAGAACCTTTGTACCTCCCCTCTCCATTCATCATAACTTAAGGCCAGTCAAGGACACAATGGATTGAGAACCTTTGCACCTCCCCTCTCCATTCATCATAACTTAAGGCCAGTCAAGGGCACAATGGATTAAGAACCTTTGCATCTCCCCTCTCTATTCATCGTAACTTAAGGCCGGTCAAGGGCACAATGGATTAAGAACCTTTGTACCTCCCCTCTCCATTCATCATAACTTAAGGCCAGTCAAGGACATAATGGATTGAGAACCTTTGCACTTCCCCTCTCCATTCATCATAACTTAAGGCCAGTCAAGGGCACAATGGATTGAGAACCTTTGCACCTCCCCTCTCCATTCATCATAACTTAAGGCCAGTCAAGGGCACAATGGATTGAGAACCTTTGCACCTCCCCTCTCCATTCATCATAACTTAAGGCCAGTCAAGGGCACAATGGATTGAGAACCTTTGCACCTCCCCTCTCCATTCATCGTAACTTAAGGCCGGTCAAGGGCACAATGGATTGAGAACCTTTGCACCTCCCTTCTCCATTCATCATAACTTAAGGCCAGTCAAGGGCACAATGGACTAAGAACCTTTGCACCCCATCCCTAATCCTCATAGCTCAAGGCCAGTCAAGGGTAAAATGGATTGAGAACCATCCCCACTGAAACCATTCAAAGGAAGGGAGTTGTCTGCCCCTTCTGAAGACATACCTCGGACTGGTTGTTGATGCAGGCACCATGATTCAGCAGAATCCCGAGGATATCAACATGGCCGTGCCTCGCAGCACAGTGCACCGGGTCTATACCACGCTGGAGAAGATAACAGTAGGCAAACTTTACTCAACACAATACTTATGTTACTTCCAATAGTGAACCGAAAAAGAAATAATTCTTAACTTTTCAAAAAGTATTCACAAGCTAAGATACCTAACACAATCACAAAGACAGATCCACGATTTTGAAAATATGTGTGTGTGTTGTGTCTCGTTGGCACATAAGGCATCTAATAATAAAACACTTTGTATATTCAGCAGGGCACGATGTCATCCCTCAGATAACATCCTTACCTTGTCATCTTGCTAATGGTGTTGCTAATGGTGGTCATGAGGACCTTGGATCAGATGGTTCCTGGTTTTGAATCACTTTATGGTAATAGGCAACTTTATTACAGCTACAACAGTCAGTGTTAATTCACTGAGACAAATTTGCAGAAAATGTTGCTGACTGACAAAAGTGAGGTTGAAACTCCAAACTGTGTATCTGTTTCATCAAACTCCGTCATATGAGTGAGTGAGTTTAGTTTTACGCCGCTTTCAGCAATATTCCAGCAATATCACGGCGGGACCGTCATATGAACATCAGTTCTGACCTTGACTTTCATTACCTTTGACTTGTAGTGGATGCTTGCATTTCGACTGAGCAGTTCATTCAGGATGGCCGTGTGTCCTTTCATGCACACCAGGTGAATAGCCTTGGCTCCTTGCTGTAAACAGACATGCAGACCAGGGCTTGATTTGAGAGAGCTTAACCTACTTGCACCAGGTGCAACCTATGATAAAAACCTAGTGTGACCAGCCAAATTCCAGTTGGAACGTAGTGTGTTAAAATGTCAGAGATTTCGGTGCACATAAACATATTTCCGTGATGTAGAACCCATGAAACCATAGCAACACAGAGACAAAGATGATCCCTGTTTACAAGAGCTGTCATAGCCGAAATGTGTATATGAATAGCAATATTACAGTGCCATAGCTATTCAAAGTTTAGAATAAAAATAAGCTGACATATTTATGCTTATAACGTTAGATGCATTGTTGATTTATTTCTCAAAAATTGTAAACACTCATAACTAGGTTGCACTTTGTGATATTGTGTTGCACCAGTGCAAGTAACAAAGCAATAAATCGAGCCCTGACAGGTCAGTTGGATGCTGATCGTAAACAGACATACAGGTGAGTTGGATGCTGGTAGTAAACAGACATACAGGTGAGTTGGATGCTGGTCGTAAACAGACATACAGGTCAGTGGGGTACTGGTCGTAAACAGACATTCAGGTCAGTTGGATGCTGGTAGTAAACAGACATACAGGTCAGTGGGGTATTGGTCGTAAACAGACATACAGGTCAGTTGGATACTGGTCGTAAACAGACATACAGGTCAGTGGGGTACTGGTCGTAAACAGACATAAAGGTCAGTTGGATGCTGGTCGTAAACAGACATACAGGTCAGTGGGGTACTGGTCGTAAACAGACATTCAGGTCAGTTGGATGCTGGTAGTAAACAGACATACAGGTCAGTTGGATACTGGTCGTAAACAGACATACAGGTCAGTTGGATACTGGTCGTAAACAGACATACAGGTCAGTGGGGTACTGGTCGTAAACAGACATAAAGGTCAGTTGGATACTGGTCGTAAACAGACATACAGGTCAGTGGGGTACTGGTCGTAAACAGACATACAGGTCAGTTGGATGCTGGTCGTAAACAGACATACAGGTCAGTTGGATGCTGGTCGTAAACAGACATACAGGTCAGTTGGATACTGGTCATAAACAGACATTCAGGTCAGTTGGATGCTGGTCGTAAACAGACATACAGGTCAGTTGGATACTGGTCATAAACAGACATTCAGGTCAGTTGGATACTGGTCATAAACAGACATTCAGGTCAGTTGGATGCTGGTCGTAAACAGACATACAGGTCAGTTGGATACTGGTCATAAACAGACATTCAGGTCAGTTGGATACTGGTCGTAAACAGACATACAGGTCAGTGGGATACTGGTCATAAACAGACATACAGGTCAGTTGGATACTGGTCATAAACAGACATACAGGTCAGTTGGATACTGGTGGTAAACAGACATACAGGTCAGTTGGATGCTGGTCGTAAACAGACATACAGGTCAGTTGGATGCTGGTCGCAAATAGACAGACATATGGGGCCCTGTTTCACAAAGCTATCGTAGCGCTACGACTGTCGTAAGTCTATGCTACAGTATAGAAGGTACGATTACTATGAGAGAGCTTTGTGAAACGGGGCCCAGGTCAGTTGGATGCTGGTCGTAAACAGACATATGGCTGCAGCTTCAGGACTGAAAACATTTCTTTGTTTGATTGTCGTTTGTTTGTTTGGTAAGACTTTTTACAGCATTATTAGAGGCTGTCTGTTATAATAATCAAATGTGGAGGATCCAGTGATTAACATCATGAGCATCAATTTATTGAAATGGAACACAAGGACGAATCCGCTCAGTCAGTCAGTCAGACTTCCCATACCATGCAGGACTTGCTGAAGAACAATTCTATCCTAGGTCGTCATGGTAACCCCAGAGTCAAAACTCACGATACTGGTGACTTTGTTGGGGTCAAAGCCCAGCTCGTCTATGCACATCTTCACTTGATCCAAGTCCCCACTGTAGGCCGCCCGCAGCAACATCTCATCTGGCTTGGTGTCCAGGTAGTCACTGTCGATGTTGGCTAAAGGGGGCGCTGCAGGACACAGGGACAAGATGGTTTCTATGACGACGACGTGTTCCATACTGAGAGCAATGCCAAGGGGAGTCATCCCACACTGCAACAGACACCTAGTGTCATGTTACCATGGTTACTGCCCAAACGTTTGTTCAAGCATTTCGGATTAATTGATAACTTGATGGTAATGACAGCATAAACATAAAAGCAAGCACGATACAAATCGCATATAATGGTAGACAAAGGTTGCTCAGTATTATTCTCAGACTCTCACGGAGGAACATCATCGGGTTCCCAGTGGGAGCTGTCATTAGACTTGACGACCTACCTTCACTGACAGACATGGATCTGCTCCCGCCTTCAGCATCGGGTTCCCAGTGGGAGCTGTCATTAGACTTGACGACCTACCTTCACTGACAGACATGGATCTGCTCCCGCCTTCAGCATCGGGTTCCCAGTGGGAGCTGTCATTAGACTTGACGACCTACCTTCACTGACAGACATGGATCTGCTCCCGCCTTCAGCATCGGGTTCCCTGTGGGAGCTGTCATTAGACTTGACGACCTACCTTCACTGACAGACATGGATCTGCTCCCTACCTTCACTGCCTTCAGCATCGGGTTCCCGGTGGGAGCTGTCATTAGACTTGACGACCTACCTTCACTGACAGACATGGATCTGCTCCCACCTTCAGCATCGGGTTCCCGGTGGGAGCTGTCATTAGACTTGACGACCTACCTTCACTGACAGACATGGATCTGCTCCCGCCTTCAGCATCGGGTTCCCGGTGGGAGCTGTCATTAGACTTGACAACCTACCTTCACTGACAGACATGGATCTGCTCCCGCCTTCAGCATCGGGTTCCCGGTGGGAGCTGTCATTAGACTTGACAACCTACCTTCACTGACAGACATGGATCTGCTCCGCCTTCAGCATCGGGTTCCCAGTGGGAGCTGTCATTGAGACCTTCACCTTCACTGACAGACATGGATCTGCTCCGCCTTCAGCATCGGGTTCCCCAGTGGGAGCTGTCATTAGACTTGACGACCTACCTTCACTGACAGACATGGATCTGCTCCAGCCTTCAGCATCGGGTTCCCTGGTGGGAGCTGTCATTAGACTTGACGACCTACCTTCACTGACAGACATGGATCTGCTCCCGCCTTCAGCATCGGGTTCCCGGTGGGAGCTGTCATTAGACTTGACGACCTACCTTCACTGACAGACATGGATCTGCTCCCGCCTTCAGCATCGGGTTCCCGGTGGGAGCTGTCATTAGACTTGACAACCTACCTTCACTGACAGACATGGATCTGCTCCCGCCTTCAGCATCGGGTTCCCGGTGGGAGCTGTCATTAGACTTGACAACCTACCTTCACTGACAGACATGGATCTGCTCCCGCCTTCAGCAGCAGCCGGACGATGTCCTCCTGGCCCTCATGGGCAGCAAAGTACAAGGGGGTGAAGCCAGCCTGGTCAGTTAATATACACATCATTTACTCCAACAGAACTAACAAAGCATATTCGAAACACTGCCTGAAATCCACCATTAGGCCAGACCAATTTTATTTCTTGTTTTACGGATCTGCCGGTCGTATTTTTTCTAGAATAAGAAAAAATATTAAAAAGTTAATTTTCCCTGCTCAAAAAATAAAATCCTAATGTTTTATTGGTCAAAACTGTAAATTTACAAGAAAGTTTCTTTAGATTGTGTTTTGCCCCACAGACACTTCAAAAATTGCCAAAAGTAAAATACTTTTAGCATTTATTTATTTTTATTTTATTTTTTCCCCTCCTGCCTTTAGGTTTTCTGAGTACAAAAATCTGTAAAACAAGAAATAAAATTGGTCTGGCCTTACTGGTCAATGACAGATTAACTTACTCAAGCATGACTAAAATATACTTCCCATCAAAAGTTTAGACTCACATAAAACACTCACTATATGTTATGTATATATAAATGGTTACATTGAACATTGATTTCTCCACTAACTTGGGGGAACTAACTGCAAACCTAATGCAGATGAATTGCACCAGGATCATGCATCAAATTGCTGCATGTGCGTTTTGGTGTATAGTTTTGTGAAGAATTTGCCAATTTTCACTGATTTTTATCATTTATTGAACTCATGACAATAATCTTTTCAACGTTACGAATTTGTTTCACAATATATCAGTTCATATGTAAACAGTACCTTAAACAGTATGGAATATTTTGCAAAATTTAGTTCAGAACAGTTTCCGGAAGTAAGTGGCTATATTTACCCTAGAGAGTCTTAACTTTTGATGGGTAGTATATATTATAACCTGAGTTACAAATAAAATCATAATTAGTTTGTTCAAGTGAGCAACTAATTACTGAGATACTGAAAATAGTTATATCAGGACAATCACTTTAAAAACTGTGAACAGACACATTTTGGCGTGAGATGTGGGTATCCTAATATTTAATTTAAGTAGAGTATGTTTTAAAGGTTCGAGTAATTTCTGTCTCACCTCTGTCTTGATGTTGACGCGAGCTCCGTGGTTCAGTAGGAAGTGGACACTGTTCATGTTTCCACGGAGACAAGCCAAGTGCAGGGCCGACAGACCCACCTGAACAACATCCACAGATACATCACCAGCTTAGTGTCTTACACAAACAGAGCCTTCCACAGATACATCACCAGCTTAGTGTCTTACACAAACAGAGCCTTCCACAGATACATCACCAGCTTAGTGTCTTACACAAACAGAGCCTTCCACAGGTACATCACCAGCTTAGTGTCTTACACAAACAGAGCCTTCCACAGATACATCACCAGCTTAGTGTCTTACACAAACAGAGCCTTTCACAGATACATCACCAGCTTAGTGTCTTACACAAACAGAGCCTTCCACACATACATCACCAGCTTAGTGTCTTACACAAACAGAGCCTTCCACAGATACATCACCAGTTTAGTGTCTTACACAAACAGAGCCTTCCACACATACATCACCAGCTTAGTGTCTTACACAAACAGAGCCTTCCACAGATACATCACCAGTTTAGTGTCTTACACAAACAGAGCCTTCCACACATACATCACCAGCTTAGTGTCTTACACAAACAGAGCCTTCCACACATACATCACCAGCTTAGTGTCTTACACAAACAGAGCCTCAACTGAGGCCATCCTATGCCAAACATAAGTTTCATATAACAGAGATACAGAAATGATTTGTGGAGGATAACAATATTCTAGCTGGTTGCAACAATATGTCAGGGAGTGAGTTTGGTTATTTTTAAGCCGCTTTTAGCAATATTCCAGCAATATCACGATGGGGGACACCGGAAATGGGCTTCACACATTGTACACACTAGCATGACCCATGTATGGTATGACTCCATATCTTACTAAGAAAGTGTAATCCCAAATAAAACATATTTTCCATATCATTGTACAGGCATTCACAATTAAACTCTAAACAATAACAAAAGCCTTCTTTCAATCATTTCTGGAAGGGTCACACCAAATTAAAAGCTTTTCATACAAATAATTTGTCTGCAGAAAAAGAATTCCGAAGTGAAATATGAATGAAAACAACTCAGCAGAATGAGTCCACTTACTGGTGTGGTAGCATTGACATCTTGGTTGCTGGAGAAGGAAGCCATCTTATCAGTTTGGCCAGCTTCTGCAGCCTTAATGAAGTCTTTGAGAGGTAAATCTGGCAGCTGTATCACATCAGAATAAACAAAGACTGACAAGTATTATCTACATTGTGGACACTTACAATGTTCAAAATGACAACTAATAAAATACATTTCTTATTAATCTTGTTCCTAACATTTCTCCTCTGGTGTATTCACAGATGATGAAAAACAAAAACATCCCTGACCATGACCATAAATGACAAGCAGAGTTAATAAAAAGGACACCCAAGACAATGCAACAAACCAGCTGAAATCTGTTAGCTGGGTCTAAGACTTCAGTCGGCAATACAAATTTCTCTGAGACACTTCCATGGTGTAACCTGACTGTGAAGTCGTACCTCGTTGAAGCCGTCCATCTCCTGCTTCTGTGCCATGGTGGCCAGGTTCTCCAGCTTGTCCATGATGCTGCTACGGAGCGTGGCAGACGTACTTGGCGTGTGGTTCAACAGCTGGAAGATCAGTGTGGAGATGGAGGTAGACTGGATGAATTTATTCATTCATTTGTCTATTTCTTTCCAACTTTCATTTGTTGCATGTTAATGTTTCAAAAGAAAGCCAAATATCTAAATGAACCAGAATCAATTGCAGCAATGATGTTTGTCCATTCTAAGTAAACTTAGACTCAGTATTATTCATTACACTGCTATACTGAGTCTAACAAAACCTTGTGGAAGGTCGCGTCAGATAACCTTTCCAATTGACCAATCAGAACACAGCTTACCAAATCGCGAAAGTTGACATTCGCACATACCTTTTTGAACTTTTACCTCCAAAAAGTTTGTTTCGAACTAATCAGAATGCTATTTTCCGTATGATCGGTTCGTAGTGAGGCACGCCATAGCAGTGAGTAAAGAGTCGCTGAAAATAGCGATTTGTAAGTATTCAAGCAAGTCAGCTTGCTGAAATATTAGCTAATGATAGCCATGTCATCAGAAACCCCAAAGCGTATATACTGCAGGGCAAATATCTGTGTTTTATGCAATTTTCATTTGTTGGAAGATCAATTTGTAAGTCCCGCCAAACCCTAAATAGTAGCTTTTGTCTGATCGGTCAAATCTGTTCGGCCATCTCGGTTTGATTGGACGGTCATAGGTCGCTAAAAGGTTATCTGACGCGACCTTCCACAAGGTTTTGTTTGACTCAGTATAGCAGTGTAACGAATAGTACTGAGCCTTTGTTTACTTAGACTGGATTTTTGTCTGATTTCTGTTTTGTTTTTTCTCTGTTTGTCTGTCCATCTGTCCATTTGTCCATCAGTCAGTGAGTAGCTGTTAGCCTGTAAATTATTAGCTCAGGAACCAGGCAAACTAATGATTGATATTATGATCACCCTTCCATGTTATGACACACAATGATTTGACCACACAACCTGACACCCAATCCCCACTTTAGCATAAATCTTGACATTCAAAACTATTCTAATTTTTAATCACTATCACAGCTTAAGTCTCTTGTCCACTCTGACAGGCTAAAGTTGTGTTTACAAGCTTTTTGTAAACAGACAATCAAGATATTAATATTGTTTGCATATTTCCATGTCATTCCCAGAGCACAATATGATAGTCAATCAACAAAATCAACAAGCTACCTGAGATTAAGTTACACTTGTGACATCATTTCATTGTCTGCTCGCTTCATTATTTTTCAGGAATGGAGCGATGCGTATACCAGTTTCAATTGTAAGACCTTTATAGTTCATACTCATTTCATTACATGTGGCTTTTAAAATTACCAGTACTTTGGATGTAATTTAAGTAGGGTAATATTCTTGTAACTCGCCATTCTTTAAAAATAATGTGCCTCGGCGCCATTATTTTTAAGGAAATGGAGAGTTACACGGACATTACCCTCTACTTAAATCACCTCCTCAGACTAGCACTAGTATCTATTCTAAGCCGGAATTCCCTTTGGAATATTCCAAGAATATCATATGTCTGGCACCAATATGATCCTCACTTTGAAAGACCTCATCATCTGATTATGTGTGTCCTACCTCGTCCACTCTGTCAGGTGCGAATGGGCCAAGTCGATGGCACCAGAAGATGAACACACTGAGAGCCTCTGCATTACCCAACACCATAGCTATGTCAGAAGCCTTCATCCTCTGCAACATAAACACTGAAGTTCTTGAAAGGCTTTTAGAAGTTGGACGAACATGAATACATGACACAGTTTATGGATAAAAACTTCTTTTTATTGCTAGTACAATATTTCACAGTAAATTCTTGCTCCTTCATCTGGTGAATGAATAAAACAAAGGTGTTATCCATAAAACATGGCAGGTGAGGTGAGGTGAGGTGAGGTGAGGTGAGGTGAGGTGAGGTGAAATTGGGTTTACGTCGTGCTTGAAAATAATTCGCTCATATGACGATGTGCATGAGTGTGTATGTGTATGTGCGGCTGCTTGCACTAGCCCAGACTTAAGCTGGTTTTATAGTGCTAGCTCACTGAGATACCATGCCGCAGTGAAGCATGAATACCCCACTCAGACACATTATACTGACTCCGAGCTGACCAGTCCTTGTTCTATCCATTAATGCGGAGTGACAGGCAGGGACCAACAAGTACCATATTTTAATGTCTTATTTATAACGCGGTCGGGGATCGAACCCGTGACCTACCGCCCTCCGGGCGGATGCTCTAACCACTACACCACGGAGGCGGTCCAAACATGGCATGTAAACATAAACATTGTGTGTAATCCAGGCTTATCACTATTGATTATGATTATATGTCAAGATTACAAGTAAACAGATGCATGCTGTAACAGTAGTCTCGAGGGTTGTGTTGCCAGTGGGAGGCTGGATAAGGGTACAGTACATATTCCCATGTTACAGCTTTAGTTAGATTATACTCACACACTGAGCCAAGCATGGTGATGCATCATCCATGGGGACCTGCAATAGATAGTTCACTTGTTAACACTGGGATACAGACATGGGCTGGTTGTGATGTCACTCCAGCAGGAAGGCTGTGGTATCTGAGGACAACAGGGGAGGTAACTACAGGATAGAGGACAAAAGGGACGTAACTACTAGGTTCAGGAAAAGAGGGAAGATAGCTCCTGGATACACGACAACAAGGGAGGTAACTACAACCAGTGTATGAAATAAGCCAAAAATCCATCCAGACATCAGGGCTGATAACTTCAAAATGTTACCAGCCCAAAATGGATTTAACCAGACCAGACACCCAGATATGCTGAATTTGCTCAGATGTATGGAACAATTAAAACATTTACCAGATCATTGGGCTGGCTAGCTGTAAATTTAGACCGCCCGTCAGAAATCTAGACCATCTCGGGCGGTCAGACAGGCCTTATTTCATACACTGCTACAACATATAGGCAGGTGGTGATATCACATATACAGGATGATTGTGACATCATACATATCTGTGGACAACAGAGGAGTTAACTACATGATATATAAGAGAATGGGAGGTAGCTATGAGTTACAGGACATCAGGGGGGGTAACTACAGGTAACAGAACATCAGGGGAGCTAACTACAATATATAGGAAGACAGGCGAGACAACAACAGGATACAACATCAGCAGAGAATGTAGCCACATCACCTCCATCTCCCAGAGAGGGTCTGCTCCGTGCAGCAGTAGCTTCTCAATCACCTTGTAGTGGTTCTGCTGGGCGGCCAGATACAGGGGCGTATACTTTGTCTGTCAATCAGGGAACATCAGTAAAGACAACAACTCACAAAGCCAGGATGTTGCAAGGAAACTAGATTCAAAACATCTAATATAGTATCATCAAATCAGGAGTCCGTGAATATATTTTATGGACTGATAACGTGTATATTCATCTGCATCAGAGTCGGCAGTATTCCAGCTATGTTGCCAATGGTACTCACATGCAGCATTGACATGACAGAGTCGATCTTCAGGCCATACTCCAGCAGCAGGTCCAGCATCTCCTCATCCCCCACCATAGCCACTGTGTGGACACACGTCACACCTCGCTGACATGGAAACATACAAGTGATGAGATATGTGATCTACAGCTGATGTCTGCCCCTCCCTCCCTCCTGGGATCTACAGCTCATGTCTGCCCCTCCCTCCCTCCTGGGATCTACAGATTATGCCGACTCTCTCAACACACACCCACCTCTGATCTACAGCTGACGTCTGCCCCTCCCTCCCTCCTCTGATATACAGATAATGTCGACTCTCTCAACACACACACACCTCTGATCTACAGCTGATGTCTGCCCCTCCCTCCCACCTCTGATATACAGATAATGTCCACTCTCTCAACACACACCCACCTCTGATCTACAGCTCATGTCTGCCCCTCCCTCCCACCTCTGATATACAGATAATGTCGACTCTCTCAACACACACCCACCTGGGATCTACAGCTGATGTCTGCCCCTCCCTCCCTCCTGGGATCTACAGCTGATGTCTGCCCCTCCCTCCCTCCTGGGATCTACAGATTATGCCGACTCTCTCAACACACAACCACCTCTGATCTACAGCTCACGTCTGCCCCTCCCTCCCTCCTGGGATCTACAGTGGATGTCCACTCTCACAACACACACCCACCTCTGATCTACAGCTGACGTCTGCCCCTCCCTCCCGGCTCTGATATACAGATAATGTCCACTCACTCAACACACCCACCTCTGATCTACAGCTGTCGTCTGTCCCTCCCTCCCACCTCTAATATACAGCTAATGTCCACTCACTCAACACACCCACCTCTGATCTACAGCTGACGTCTGCCCCTCCCTCCCACCTCTGATATACAGATAATGTCCACTCTCTCAACACACCCACCTGGGATCTACAGCTGACGTCTGCCCCTCCCTCCCACCTCTGATATACAGATAATGTCCACTCTCTCAACACACCCACCTCTGATCTACAGCTGACGTCTGCCCCTCCCTCCCACCTCTGATATACAGGTAATGTCCCCTCTCTCAGCACACACCCACCTCTGTTCTACAGCTGACGTCTGCCCCTCCCTCCCACCTCTGATATACAGGTAATGTCCACTCTCTCAACACACTCACCTGGGATCTACAGTTGACGTCTGCCCCTCCCTCCCTCCTGGGATCTACAGATAAGGTCCACTCTCTCAACACACACCCACCTCTGATCTACAGCTGACGTCTGTCCCTCCCTCCCACCTCTGATATACAGGTAATGTCCACTCTCTCAACACACCCACCTGGGATCTACAGCTGACGTCTGCCCCTCCCTCCCACCTCCTCTGATATACAGCTAATGTCCACTCTCTCAACACACTCACCTGGGATCTACAGTTGACGTCTGCCCCTCCCTCCCACCTCTGATATACAGGTAATGTCCACTCTCTCAACACACTCACCTGGGATCTACAGTTGACGTCTGCCCCTCCCTCCCACCTCTGATATACAGCTAATGTCCACTTTCTCAACACACCCACCTCTGATCTACAGCTGACGTCTGCCCCTCCCTCCCACCTCTGATATACAGCTAATGTCCACTCTCTCAACACACCCACCTGGGATCTACAGCTGACGTCTGTCCCTCCCTCCCACCTCTGATATACAGGTAATGTCCACTCTCTCAACACACTCACCTGGGATCTACAGTTGACGTCTGCCCCTCCCTCCCACCTCTGATATACAGGTAATGTCCACTCTCTCAACACACTCACCTGGGATCTACAGTTGACGTCTGCCCCTCCCTCCCACCTCTGATATACAGCTAATGTCCACTCTCTCAACACACCCACCTGGGATCTACAGCTGACGTCTGCCCCTCCCTCCCACCTCTGATATACAGGTAATGTCCACTCTCTCAACACACTCACCTGGGATCTACAGTTGACGTCTGCCCCTCGCCTCAGCAACTCTTTCACAATGTCTCTGTGGCCTTCTTTCACTGCCATCAACAATGCTGTCATATTTCTCTGAAAACAAAGATTTTAATTGCCTACAGTGACAGACAGAGTTTACACTGAACTAAGCAGTAAGCAATATTTCTGCATCTGCAAATAATCAAGTCTGGACAATGAGCCAATCTTTTTACAACTGCAGTATTTCTTTACACTATTTTCCTGTAACATTTATCAAACCAAGTAATCTGAACACACTGTGTGTCCTAAACTCAAATATAACAAGAAAAATTGATAACAATAACAAATACTTAAGACATGTGAAGCATTGTTCTAGTCTTTCGAGAGTCTTGATGCATATTAAGAGGGCACAAGGTAAGATTTTAGTTATCACCCGACATTATTTCCTCCTACTTGTTCTGTTTGCAACCAGTATCCATATTGTAAATAGTAACAGGATCAGTAGCCCAGACCGCAGTGTTGTATTTATTGTCATGGCGACTGATGACATCACAATTGTCTGCCAAATGTAGCAGGGCATGGAGTCATCCCACAGATGACATCCTTACCTTGCCAGCTTTCAGACAAGGTTAACCTCTTTGGTCATGTGGACAAGGTGTCCGACTTTGGATCAGAAGGTCCATGGTTTGAATCCTATGGACCCTCTGATCCAGAGTCCAGCACGAGACATGGAAATTTTATCGTCCGGTAAATTATGATGCAGATTCATTGGTATGATATCTCCTGAACCCTGTTTGGGAAGAAGTATAAAACCCCATCCTACCGGCGGTGCTGTGAAGTTAGGATCCCCCCCAGCATCCAGGTACCGACACACGCCCTCCATGTCTCCTGACTGAGCGTTAAGGAGGAAGGTGATAGCTGCCTCAGCACTGCTCATGATGGTACTCCAGCCTCATGCAACCAGGCCCGACAGTCACTTCATAGCATTCACTGAGCCTTGGAGATGTTTCTCAAGTTGAAGTAAAGACATCATGTCCTTCACTTTCCATGCAACTGTTTGATCCTTTGCTGATCTGCTGCCAATGATTACTGTGTTCGTTTTATGTTGTCAGGGAAGTAGCTTTGCACATGACCATCTGACACAAGATTCTATGTGGTTGGATACTTTCCTCTGGTTACCATGGTAACACATACATAGCTATGCAATTACAATCTTCCTTTTTGATTGTCTGGAATGAAAAATAAGACATTAATGTTTCATTAGGCTACACAAAATTAGCTGTTTGTTTGAACCATTTAAGCAGCAAAAATATCTTGATGCCAGGAGACATAATTCAATATCACTTTCTAAAATATGAACAACTTTATTACAGTTCAATTTCTTGTAAAACAACATAAATCAGTGAGGTGAATAAAAATTACAAATATGGTACATAATTTGATTATGCTGAGTGAGTGAGTGTACATTGAAGTCAGATCAGCTTTGTTTCAGCAATATATCGACACTGAGTTTATAGCTCATATTTACATATTCTGATATTGAGAAAGATAATAGCATATGTGCAACTCATCATACATTTAGTCGTCAGTTGACTTTAGCCATGCATACTGACACATTTAACTGCTAGGTATTTGATTGGTGTACTATTTGACCATTTTCCTGTTACTGCAATTGAAACAAAATTACAGCCCTGAAAAGTAACTTTTATTTGTCCATTTCCTATGATTTATTTATCAACATAGATATATGTATGGACATGTAATATCTGATTAATGGATACAAAAAACTGTGGTAGAGGTCCTACAAAACAGGTAAGGTCAAGTATGTATTATTAGCATCACACATTGTAGATTTTATATTAAACAGCAAGTGTCGAAGATATATAGAACAATTGTACCTACCACTTAAACTTCATTCTTCTGTGATATCTGACCCCAGGAATTAGTCTATCTGGCTTTGATTGGTTGACATCAACGCCTGAAATTATTAAATGCAGGGTCAGGTGACAAGTAAACAACAACATTACTAAGGACTATAGCTCACCAAGAACATTGAAAGAGGCACCTTGTTCACCACTGTAAGCACTGGGATCCAATGAGCGTCCTCCGAAAACTTCAAAACCAATCTGTCAGTCATCTTTTGTACTAGTAAACTGAAAATTGACATGACTGTCCATAATTCTTATCACATTTTATTTTACAGAAAAGGGAAGGGCTTTCTGTTAATTTTCAGTTGATCAGTTTCTCTTTAGGGACCGTTCATAATTTATGGCTAGGGGGGAGTGATGATTTTATGGAGAAGCTTGTACAATGTGAATGACCCCCCCTAAAATTTATGTACAAAATAAGTGACCCCCTTGCATGTCATGTACAAAATCAATGACCCCCCACCTCCCCTTCCCATAATTTCTAAGCATAATTTTAAAATATTATGTACAAAATTGCTGACCCCTAGTACATGTGTACAGAATTGATGACCCCCCAGCTCACCAGAACAAAATGGGTGACCCCCTTAAAGTCATCATCACCCCCTGCTTCATCAGCCAGGGGTCTTTAGTAACCAGAAAACATCTTTCCACATGTCTGGCTCTCATTGGATAGAAGGGGGCCCTGCTTCATCAGCCTCTTTAGTAACATGATCCCACATGCTAGTGACATGCTTGTGGCATGATAGTGACATGATAGTGACATGATAATGGCATGCTAGTAAGTAGTGGTAGCTAACCAAAAAGCTAGGACACTGGTCACAGTCAACCTTGACCATGGCATGGGAACGTTTCAACCACTAGACTTCACCTCAGCCGTTTGGTCAAAATTACAGGTTTGCATTGTTTTACGTTAAATGATGCTTTTGATTAACGGTGTTACGGTGCTTTTTCTTAATGTATTTCACGACTTGTCATGTCTACATGAAGTTTTTTAATATAATATGTCGACCATAGACTTGTAGAAATATTTACTTTTGCTTGTGAGGTAATATATTTATTATAAAAGGCAGGCTGACATAACCATCTCATTCAATTCAGATATTTATAACTCATGAAGATCCAGGTTAGAATTGATCTTTAGTAACCCATGCTTGTCGTAAGAGGCAACAAACAGGATTGGATGGTCAAGCTTGATGACTTGGTTGACACATGTCATCGTATTCCAATTGCGTAGAACAATGCTCATGCTGTTTATTACTGGATTGTCTGGCCCAGACTCGATTATTTACAGACCGACGCCATAGAACTGGAATAACGTTATGGGCTGCGTAAAATTAAACTCACTCACTCACTGACTCAGATATTTCTGCTGTTATGTGGTGAAGTGGCAACAGGAACTGACAACTATTTTAATGAGATTTGCCAACATTATAGGAATTCTTGACACATGAAAAAGATTTTACGTATTTATGAAAACGTGAATGAGTACAGTGTATAGTTTCAACAAAACTTTGAAATATTTAAAACATGTCTGACCTGACTGAATTGACCTCAGGTATTCATTGAGAGCTATGGCCACTTGATTACACACTGCCCTTTCAATTGGTGAATGATATACATGTACTCAAAAGTCAAACTGAATGTTTCATTTATAATTCAGTCACAGCTGTTCATGAGAGTGTATGAAAGACAAAATCATGTAGAAGTCATACATATGTTTATAACTCAAAAAAACAATTGTGAAATGATTTTCTTACGATGGAGGTGATATGTCTGTTTTCTAAATTGCTAGTTATCTGAAAAAGTTTATGCTTCTATGATGGTATACATTTTTGCATATCATCAGATAACATAAAAGTTATTTCATAAGAAAATATAATATATTTACTTATCTATCCATCCATTTATTTATTGATTGATTTATTATTTTTTTAAATCAAGCATTTGTTTGTTGTATTTCACATGTAGTATGTTCATTTATCTATTTTATTTGAAGATGTTTAAATATAGCAAGCATTTGTGGTATTTCATTAACCTGTAGGACTTTACAATATTCTCTTAAAACTGATGAAAGCTGGATATATTTGCTTGACATTTGAGAATGCTGTTGTAAATGAACTCAATGTTAACAATTTGCATTGTTATTACAATAACCTTGTACGTCCGTTTGATCGTGAAATTTTCTTATTTACTTAAACAGGTGAAAACACTTAACAGTCCAGTAGGTCTCCACAGCTGGTACATTAGTAATGATCAACCTACAAATGAACAAAATAGTCCCCAACTTCCTCACATATTACAGGAAATACTGTCACAGAATCAAGAAACAGAGTCAAACCAGACATATACAAGTCATAATCATGTCATGTAATTATAGCGTTTATCATATGAAAATGTTCTTATTTTTTAATAAAACTGCGGAATAATCTCATGAACTGGTGTTTCACCTTCGCCTGGTCCGCACCTCAAAACCGTGATGTAGCATAACGTGCGTAAGTATATATCTTGTCTTTGGTGTGTGAGACGGTTATTTTCCCCATGTGTTTGCCTTGTTATAACGTCATATTGATACGACCCTCATACCTAAACCCACGTGGAGTTGTATTGCATGTTGTGTGCAATGCAGTGATTATCTCACCGTGATCACCTACCAGTTGCCATGCTTGTGGAAAACATGTTTTTTCTCAACCGGACCGATCTCGTGTGTTGAATGTCGATACTTGTATGACATTAGCACTGGGTTCCTATTTCGTACTGACAGTACAGTCAGGGTGGACTACACTCCGCGCCGTGATTCGATTGAATCACTGATTTTCCATATTTTCAAGTGAAAAGTCACTGTTTGCATCCCGATAAGTGAATCTAAGGGAAGTCACTCTGAATCATCTTGTCGCTGCATAGTGTGTATCGGTAGAGTGCCCCACTTACCCGATGCGTGGCTTGAGTGTTTTTGTTTGTTTGTTGGTACCTCCCTGGATGCCAGAGGCACATACATGTCTCTTAACCATCACTTTGGATTCGAAAAAATTCAAAATATATATCATGCACACAAATACACTTCACAGTTTTGAATTCTGGGGGATTTTTTTTGTTTCTTGATATCCTGTTCCCAATCATCTTAGATAAAACATATTTTTGACATGTTACACAGTGTTATTTATGTTATTTTTTTTACTTAACAATCACCAATATTCCAGCTAGATGGCGGTGGTCTGTAAATAATCGAGTCTAGACCAGACAATCCAGTGATCAACATCCAGAGCAACGATCTATGCAATTGGATACGATGACATGTGTCAACCAAGTCAGCGAGCCTGGCCGCCCATTCCTGTTAGTCGCCTCTTGAAAAAAAATGATATTCAAATTTAAGGACTTACTGACAACTCACTTTAAATGTTAAAGTCGTCGCTAATATGGCGTGTTAGTATTAAGTAACGTTTCAATACTTGAGCATATGTTTTAGTTTGGTCACATTGAAAAGCATATTATATTTTCGAATATATTCCCCAAAGTGTTCTTTGTCTTAAAAAGTCTGGCATGACAATTCTTAGGACATCTGACTCTTGTTTAAGAGATATTTTGTAGCCATAAAAAATTTGTCATTTATGCAGTTTTCCATTTGACTATGTCCAAACATTACTGCACCTATGAAATATGGAATTAGACTGATATACATATAAATGCAATCGTGAAATGTATTGAAGTCAGCTTCATTCATGTACAGTATTTATCAATATTGCGCACACTGAAAGAGATATCAAATTATGTAATGCATACTTAAGCATGAAATTGCTTGAAAATATGTAATGCATGAGTAATTAATGCATGTGCATATTCATGCATGAAAATATGTAATGTTTTGTAACACATTTGTATAGTCATATTCGGAATAGTGTATTTGGGCATCTGCAGACAAATTTGTGCATCGGTATATCTTTCAAGCCTTTGTGCTCCTTTGGATTCCACGTTATTTACCTAGCTATATGTGAGAAACATTCGTGCTGTGAAACCTCGGGGGACAGGGACATTGGCATAACTTTTGGCAGGTAGGTTTCAGGTGAATAATGAGGGGCAGTGGGGTAGCCTAGTGCTTAAAGCGTTCGCTCGTCACCGGGTTCGATCCCCACATGGGTACAATGTGTGAAGCCCATTTCTGGTGTCCCCCGCAGTGATATTGCTGGAATATTGCTAAAAGCGGCGTAAAACCACACTCACACACTCAGGTAGAAATGGCGATTGAGTTATAGTCATGAATTTTAACTGCAGATTAAGAACCTGACCGAAATGGATGTACTCCGAATGTTTATGGTGTGTAGATGTTGTTAATATGTTGATAAAAGCAGCGTAGATTCCAACTCACTTTAAAGATATCCATTGTCAACATAATGTGTAACCAAATCGCTGTGCACAAGAGATCCTTCCCTTTGGTTTTGTTTGTTTAACGCCGCACTCAGCAATATTCCAGCTATATGGCGGCAGTCTGTAAATAATCGAGTCTGGACCAGACAATCCTGTGATCAACAACATGAGCATCGTTCTAAGCACTTGGGATGCGATGGCGTGTGTCAACTAAATCAGCGAACCTGACCACCCGATCCCGTTAGTCGTTTCTTGCGACGAGCATGGGTAGCTGATGAGCAATTCTATCCCGGATCTTCACGGGTCTCGTCACACAACGAGCAACACTGTAGAGTGTATAGCTGAACAATATACCACTGATCAATGCGAAGATCCGGGTTAGAATTGCTCTTCAGCAACCCGGGCCTGTTGCATGAGGCGACTAGACCCGTGAAGATCCGGGTTAGAATATTGATCATCAGTACCCCATGCATGTCGTAAGAGAAGACTGACGGGATCGGGTGGTCAGGCTCGCTGACTTGGTTGACACATGTCATCGGTTCCCAATTGCGCAGATCGATGCTCATGCTGTTGATCACTGTATTGTCTGGTCCAGACTCGATTATTTACAGACTGCCGCCATATAGCTGGACTATTGCTGAGTGTGGCGTAAAACTAAACTCACTCACTCATGAGATCAGACTCGTAGACATAGCGGATACATGTTGTGGAATCCCGGGATGGCATGGTCCTGCGTCGAGTATATCCTTGGTGTCATACAGACTGCATATAGCTTACTATCACATAGTTGGAATGTTTCTGCATGCATAGCCACCATAACCCAATTAATTCTGAGTTGCTTCCGTAAAATATCCATGAACATATTAGATAGCCGAGTAGTAAAAGACCGCCTGCGTGGTGTATTGGTTAGAGCGTCCGCCGGAGTGCGGAAGGTCGCGGGTTCGATCCCCGACCGCGTCATACCAAAAGACGTTAAAATATGGCACTTGTTGGTCCCTGCCTGGCGCTCGGCATTAATGGGTACAACAAGGACTGGTCAGCTCGGAGTCGGTATAATGTGTCTGAGTGGGGTATTCATGCTTCACTGCGGCATGGTACCTCAGTGAGCTAGCACTATAAAACCAGCTTCAGTCTGGGCTAGTACAAGCAGCCGCACCTACACATACACACGCATGCACGTCGTCATATGAGCGAAATATTCTCAAGCACGACGTTAAACCCAATTCCACCACCACCGAGTAGTAAAACAACACTGTGCCGTGTTACCATATGTAGACATTTCAACTTGCATCACCAACACAGTCAGTCTATTACTTATAGATGCTGCGCTGGCATGAGACACCTACGGTGGTGGATGATTGGATCAAGTGTCCATACGTGTGTGCCTCACGCGATGATTGCTTATAATATCAACCACTGGTTTGACCACATACAATCCGCACTGATATGGTTGGATATTGCTGACACTCGCTCGCCCACTCTCATTCACTCGCTCTCACTCACTCACTTGCTCTTGAAACCCTCGAGCATGTATTTATTTAAATACCACTGCGGCGCCCCTGCCTCCGCTTGAGTATCCCGCTGATTCACTCCCGCTATGCTCACATTCCTCTATACCTTAGACTTGCACAAGTATGTAAGGTAATAATTATTAGTTTAAATGAAAGTTTCTAAACATGTAACTAACAGACTGGCGTCCTTGTACTGTCCGTTTATCTAGACTTGCCTCTTGAAACACTGTTAAAGGATAGAATTACTATACATCCACGGACTTGGCATTCAGTCCAGTCTTGGAGCAAGGCTATCAATACCTTGTCAGCTGCTTTAATGGAGGGGGGGGGGGGGAGGGGGGAGAGAGGACCTGAGCTGGTCTTGTTCACGTCGAACAGGATATGTAAACCGTCCCCGTGGGCAAGTGGATATAGCACTTTCACTGGTCGGTCGGCGGTTCGATCAATGGATGCGTTGTACCAACAGACTTTAAAATACGGTACTTAGTGTTACCCTGCCTGGTGCGCGACTTAAAGGGGATGATGAAACAAGAACTGGTCGGCTCGGAGTCTGCATGTCTTCTGTGTCCTAGAGGAGCGTCTCAGTTGGAAGGCACAATAAAATATGCAATACACCGAACTTGTACACGCACCAACAAACACACACACACGCACGCGCACGCACGCACATACACACGTCGCTATACAAGTGCAATAATCCTGAGCCCAAATTGACCTCACCCCACTATACTGAAGGCTGGGCGTAGATTGTTTGGTTGCTACAAGTGAATCAGAAGCTAGTGCAGCAAACAACGTACTTATTTGGCAGTGTGTATATCAGCCCTGTCGTATGACTGACGGGATGACAGATGTACGCGGACACTACAGGTGGCAATGACGGGACCCAGTCGTCCCGCTGCCAACCGAGCTTTCATTCCAGTCTCCTTAATCATCTTGCTTTCTCTGCAGGGTTCGATGTGGAACAATTCTCCGTGGTAACGCGTAAATAGGCGATTATTATTCCTTGGAATACATAATCGGACTGAGGTGTTTGGAGGAGCGAGCTGCAGACAGCGTCTCAGGAAATCACCACATCGCTTAATATGTGGAAGCACGTTGAGGAATGCTGTAGGTCAGCGGCCCTGCTGACATCATAGACGTTGTACTTGGATTCCCGTCGTAATGTAAGTTGTTATTGCGTTGACACGTATCGTGACGTACACGACGTACTTAGTCTCATCTAAAGTCCATGGAAAAGTGGCATTAAAATAATATGGGTTTTGGATGAAGGTGAGGATGTAGAGTCCCTTGCGAGATATAGGTAGAGTATGTTGCGAAATGTCTGGTAACTATAGGTGTTGCATTGACATTGGTAGAGGATGTTACGAGCAGTTTTGTACGTATGCGTGTGATAGGGATAAGGAGATTATTTTGCGCGAAGTATTACACACGTGTGGGACAGAGGTATCTAGAGTTTGTTGCGAACAGATTTGTACGTATGTGTGTGATCGAGGGATAGGCTGAATATGTTGCGAGCAGTATTGTACGTATGTGTGTGATGTAGATATAGGTAGAGTATATTGCGAGCAGTATTGTACGTATGTGTGATGAAGATATAGGTAGAGTATGTTGCGAGCAGTGTTGTACGTATGTGTGTGATGTAGATATAGGTAGAGTATGTTGCGAGCAGTATTGTACGTATGTGTGTGATGTAGATACGTAGAGTATGTTGCGAGCAATATTGTTCGTAAACGAGTTGGGCAGATATCTTGTGCTGGATACAGACAGGCAGAGCAGTCTTTTAACTGGGTCTGCTATATTGATAAGATACGTACAGTGCGTTATGAACGGCGGGTTTCGTCCCTGACCTGGTCAAGATACAATGGACACGCAATCAATCAATCTACTCGTGTTTGAACAGACACCTCGTAGCACAGTACACAACAGAATGTACCGTTCAGAACAGATGGTCTTCAGTCATGTTCCATAGACAAGGACAAGATCGGGATTAACCGCTGTAAAACTGAAGTGTACGTAGTTCGATTTGTCGTCAGTTGGCCTAGTTTCTTATGCATTAATTATTGTCAGTTTAGTCCCTCTGATAGTAGAGTCGCCATGACTACCTGTACAGTCCAACGGGATGTCCTCTAGGAAGTTTACGTCTTCCCTCCGCCTTATTAATGTTGTCTCTGTTTCTTCCAGCACAACTCCTGACCACAACAATGGCCCCATCCAGTCGAACCTTCCACTGGGCGGACTATCTCCTGTTCATCCTGATGCTTGCCGTATCCTCCGCCATTGGCGTCTTCTACGCATGCCAGGCCCGGCGGAAGGCGATCACGATGGACACCCATCTGACGGGAGGCAGGAAAATGACCCTTATCCCCGTCACCTTCTCCATCTGCGTCAGCTTCATGTCTGCCGTCTTCATCCTCGGCATACCCTCCGAAATCTACAACAACGGCGGCATCTACTGGCTCTACGCCATCGGATACATCCCCGTCTACATCGTCAGTGCTTTTGTCTTCGTCCCCATGTTTACCAATCTCAACCTCAGCAGCGGATACCAGGTTTGTGTGCTCATGTACTTGTAGCTATGTCTTTTCGTCCTCCTGTGTTGTCATAGTAACCTCAGCATCTATAGCTGAACATTTGCATCTACTTTTGTTGTTATAGTGACCACAGAATCCTGTACCAGGATGTTTTAATCGTGTGTTGCTCTAGCCGATATATATGTCTTAGGCTTTGCTCGGTGCAATTGTGCTGTTATGTAACGCCGTAACTGATCGTTTTAGCAATATTCCAGCAATATCGTGGCGGGAAACACCAGAAATGGGCTTCACACATTGTACCCATGTGGGAAATCGAACCCGGTCCATTGGCGTGACGAGCGAACGCTTTATCCACTAGGCTACCCCACCGTCCCCAGTAACTGACCGAATTTGGACAAGACAAATAAGTGGTTGATAGAATGAGCCACGATCCCCGTCCTCGTCTCGAACGACAATTAGTGGGGTGGTGTAGAGACAAGCAAGTTCCGCCATTTTTGTTCTATTCTTGTGTAACGATGTACTCAGCAATATTTCCGCTGCATGACTTGGGCCTGTAAATAATCACGGTCTGTAAACAATTTATGATCCCGATCCACAAAGTGTTCGTAACGTTGCGACCTGTCGCAACTCTAGAGGTTTACGAATGTCGCAGCGCTATGAACGTTTTGTGGATCGGGACCCTGAACGAGACATTCCATTATCCACGTCATGAGCATGTGTCTAGACAACTGGGACTGATGAAAGGTATCATCAGGCGATCTTGACCGCCCGCAGGGGTGGAAATAACCAATTGCTCGACGCCCGAGTCCAGTGTTTTTTACTGTCGGGCAAGCAAATTTGTATATCACACTGTACCGGTGTCCAGTTGATATTCCAATGTTTATGTTGTTTATTTAAATAATCAACAAGAAAACGGCCGGTATAGTGGAAATATTATCAGGGCAAGTGATTTTACATGTGCCACTGTACCGGAGTACACTAGCAATATTAAAGTTATTTCCACCCCTGGCCGCCCGAACCCACCGGTTGGTTCTGACGATAGGCATTGGTTGCTGAAGACCACTTTCAATCAGAATCATCACGGATGTTTCAGCTGAACTTATTTTAGATTTTAGGTGTGAGATTTGCCTGTTTATTTAAGCCCAAATATTTTCCGACAGTGATGGATATAAAAAAGGAAGCATACAACTTAATGCATGACAACTTCTTGAATATTGCATAGAGCGCTCTATGTAATAAATAGGAAGTTGTGTGCTTCAATACTTATTCACCAGCTTCTAGAATGCCGATCAAACAAGTGAAGGATAAAACTGTGATGTGGGGGTATATAGAAAATATCGTTATGTCATGAATAGATATGTTGCGACTTTGGGTGAAAATATAAAATTTCTAACCTATATGCAATTTAGGAAGCCCACAGGGGCTATCGTCTCTCCATCACAGAAAGTCATTCTTAAGCTACTCGTACTTTAATTCACGATAAGTGAGTGAGTTTAGTTTTACGCCACACAAAGCAATATTCCAGTTATGTGGCGGCGATCTGTAAATAAGCGAGCCTGGACCGGACAACCCAGTGATCAACAGTATGAGCATCGATCTACGCAATTGGGATATGATGGCATGTATCGACCAAGTCAGCGAGCCTGACCACCCGAGATCCCGTTTGTCCGTTCTTACAACACGCATGCATGCGTTGCTGAAGACCAATTCTAACCGGATATTCACGGGTTTTCACCGTAAAGAGAAAACCTTGCATAAAAGACACTGTTCTAGAGAACCATCCATTTATCACACTCTTCCAGATTATTTGCAGCAGTTGTTGCCTTCAGAAACACCTGCGTGATCTTCTTGGGAACGGTAGTCAATACTTCATTGATTACTCAGACTTGGTATCGATGCATGGATTCTAAAGTAGTTCCTCCTTGGTGAACTCATTTGCATATTTATCGGATTATTCTACCCAGTTAGTCGAACCGATGTATTGCATCACGTTTTTCACTATATTGGTGACTAGTGCTTTCGGTGCAACAGATCAGTCTATCAAACTTGTTATCGACGAACGATATTAAAATTATAGTTGCAAGCAACGATATAGGCTCCTTGGCTTTAGTTCTGTCTATTGTATTTGAGGGCCAGAAATCATCGTCCAAAACGGAGCCAGAATACGTTTTTGACAGGCGAGCGGATCTTCCAAATACAGCCGGGGTCGCGGGGGTGATGTACCTTTTAAGAAGTTCTGGAGAAGAAATAGTTCCATCTTTAAAAGGCTGTATCTCAGTTGTTCTTGGGTGTACGGTAAAAGCAGTTAGTGTTCTGGAATCACCAAGACTTCATCTATCATACTGGCACTTTTGTGCAGAACTTGCACAATGGTTACTGGACATCAGTTATGGAAAGTTTGGAATGTCTAGAGCTGATACCAAATTGGAGCAAAGCACATTTTGGGAGCAAACTACTCAGAAAACTGCTGAAAAACATGGAAAAAAACTGATAACAAAAATAACTGCCAAACGGTACGTTTTAGCGACTTCACCCGTCCAGGCAAAATTGTTGGGAATTCGATTGTTCATCTGTACAAGAGATTTGGATGTGTTGGAACAATTAGTTCTTGAGCTATTTGCTGTCAAACTTTTGGAATTAATTTTGAATTTTCTCCCCTTTGCTATTGGGCCTAGAGTCTAGAGATTTTTAAGTTTAGGAGTTATGTTTGGTACAAAAATCGGCGGAATAATAAATAATAATGATAATCCGAACGATTACAATAGCTCTCCTGCCTAGAGGCAAGGAGCCCTAAATATGTTTTATTTTTTAAAAAAACAAAAAGAAACTATATCATGCTCCGTTGGTACGGTTGCAAACGTAAAGTTGAGTGAACTATGTTGTTTTAAGTAACCATAAGCATTACTCATGCTATATGGCGCGAATGACCTTGTGATATTTAGGTAAACACAGCTTAACAACACTGGCTATTTTGAACGCTGTCTAGATGCGATGTGACACATTTATCTTTGTTTTCATAAACCATGAGTCAGAAATATGTTCACGGGTTGCAGTTGTAGACACGTCTGAAAGGTAGTTACGAAGCTATTTACATAAAAACGACAGCGTGACCGCATAACACGAAGACATGCTCCCAGTCAGATATACACTGGTATTGTTGACCTGCGAGTGCACACTGTGAATAACGGTAAACATGTACGCCAGCACATGTGACGACATCAGTGAACGTATATGTGGCTGACAGAAGACGGAACAGTGTAAATATCAACATCGATCTATCACAACGCTGGATTTTCTGAAAGGCGACTCCCATACAGACAGAGCCCTTGTACGGCCTATATCAGGACGTACACACTCAGAGGCACACTCCATAACAGGGACTCGGGCTAATTCACACACACACACACACACACACACACACACACACACACACACACACACACACACACAGATGGTGCTATGGTGCTATATTCACGCAGAGTTTGAAAGATTCAAAGGATTGATAAATTCAGTTACCATCACCTTATCTTGCTAACTAGGAAGCCATCTTTGTGAGCATCATAAAGTCAAAATCCATGCGTCCTAGCCACTTTAGGATAAGAAATAGAATCAATATCCAAGACCCCGTGCTGGTTGGAACAAGCGACGCAACTGTACAGGCGCAGTGTCTGGCTGCCAGCGTGTCATCGTTTACCAAGTTGTTTTAATTGTCTCCAACTTGCACCATGTTATGGTTTACATATAATTTTGTTATAATTTTGTCCAATGACGTATACGATTGCGTCTGCTTCATTGGTTAAAGGGCCCGTTCAGAATGGCCAATAGGTTCCCGGCTGTGAGGTAACCTGAGCGATAGCATGTCATCATCATAATAAATCTGGAGGCTTTTCAGGAACTGTGAGGTGTCCTCGTTGATTGTGCTTTCAATTACGGCTCAGTGGGTGCAGGTTCTATTCCCCATGCATCAATAATGTTGCCAGCATGTGTATATGTGGCTGCTTAAAGGCGTCTAACACTAGAAATTGTCTTTCTTTCAATATCATATATGAGCAATTTAATAATGACCATAACATACCCGCAACTCAATGCGTCACGATGTGTCAGGTCTCCCTTCCCCCTTCCCCGTCGACGTAACTAAGAAACTAATAGGAAACAGGCCAGCCTTCAGTTACAGACTGCTACCATCAGCGTTACAAGGAATGATGATGTTTTCTCGTTGATTTTCAGTATTTGGAGCGTCGGTTCAACGGTTACATCCGGGTTCTCGGTTCAGCCACCTTTACGTTTGAAATGGTGAGACCCAATTTAGAGTACTTCATGCTTCTAGTACGTAAACGACTTCCGATTGATTGAATGTTGTTTAACGCCGCAATCAGCAATACTCCAGCTATATGGCGGTGGTCTGTAAATACTCTATTCTGGCCCAGACAATCCAGTGATCAAAGTCATGAACGTCGATCTACGCAATTCAGCCAAGTCAGCGAGCCTGCCCACCCTATCCCTTTAGTCACCTCTTACAACAAGTATGGATTACTGAAGACCAATAATTCTAACCCGGATCCCCACAAAACAAAACGGCTTCTGAAGAAATGCCAGCAACATTGTAGATGTTACAGATTGTATTTCAATCCATTTTATACAAAACAAATATTTTATGAGCATGATTAGTGATTTTCAGACATATTTATATATTTGTATTGAAATGCAGTCTTATGAAGCTCAGGCTAGGAATGAAGGTAATATACTGTGTACATTTCAGGTGATCTATATGGGCATTGTGATGTATGCTCCGGCACTTGCGCTCAGTCAAGGTAACATCCCTGACCCTCATCATGAATACTATAAATCGCTAATTTTGAAATCTATTTCTATTTTACACGTTACGATCTGTTTAGTAAATAAATCGTCGAGACTGACATATTTTCTCTGTCGTATACGTTTTCAGGTTTTGCACCATTGGTGATGTTACGACCATTGTTTCTTGTTTTAGTGACGTCATTCTCCACCGAGATGTCCATTCTCATCATGGGTTTGGTCTGCACTTTCTACACTTCTATAGTAAGTCTGGGTTGCCCACGTGAGTGAGTGATTTTTGTTTTACGCCGCTTTTAGCAATATTCCAGCAACATCACGTCGGGGGACACCAGAAATGTGCTTCACGTGTGGTACCCATGTGGGGAATCGAACCCGGGTCTTCGGCGTGATGAGCGAACGCTTTAACCACTAGGCTACCGCACGTGACCGTGGCGGGGAGTATATACATGTATAATTATGTCATTATCTACATTTCCATGACACGAGGGTGCGTATGATGTGCTGAGTTGCTTCCCTTAGGCGTGCCAGAAACCTATGGTCCTGGGCCTAGATTTTCGAAGCTCTCTTAGCGCTAAGATAGTCGTAAGAGCCATACATTAACATTAAGTTACGACTATCTTAGCTTTAAGAGAGCTTCGAAAATCTAGGCCCTGATCCACAAAGCGTTCGTAACGTTACGACCTATCGTAACTCTATGCTTGATCATGATAGGCTTAAGAATGGCGTAGTGCTACAGGCATTTTGTACATCAGGCCCCTGTTTCGAGTAACACAATACAAGGTTGTGTACCAAAGACCAGTACCAAACCCATGTTCCTGGGTTCCAACAAAGTCTTGGGACCAGCATCACTGCTGTCCAAAATGGTGGTAAACGAATAAGCAAGTTACAATACGGGTTGATATTGAGACCTTGGACTGGTAATGTCTCGTCTCATCAGAGCCAAATGTATTTCCCATGATGCATATCTTCACAATATGTCACCCTTGATAAAGTAATGAATGTCGACTGAGTTCAGTCACGCATGCATAGTTCCTCTACCTGTGTTCAGAATGACATGGGTATATGAATATGAATAAATTCTAATTATGCTCCTATATCACAGTTCAATTAGTAACATGAAACAGTTCTATCTTACCTGTGTCTCCTGCTATAATTAAGCCGTGAGGCTCTGATGGGGGCCAGGAAAAGGTGAGACCGAGAGAGGGGGGTCGTGTAGACAGGAGCTTTTCACCTGTTGACATAATCGATTCCTCTGTATACTCGGGCAACAGGGTCGGAGACAGGTGTGTAGACACTCAATCTTCAGGCATTTATACACCGCCAAATGTGATGAGAACGCGTATTTAAGGTGACATGTTTGCGAGCTAATTATAGCAATATCCGGAATGGAAGTTTACCCTCAATTAAATAAGAACGATTCAGATAAAATTAAGATCGAACCCCGAACCAAAAAGTGAAATTTTAACTTTACTCAATTTGTACTTTAAACTACTTTCAAAAGTTTTGAAACATCGTAGATACTCTGTGTGGCCTTGAGGTTTGTTCAAACTGAGATATGTAAATACCAAAATCAACTGAACATATCGGCAGGAGGTACTCACGAGGACTGGTTGACTGTGTTACCGTTCTGAACCTATGTATCCAGTTCTGTGTCCACACGACTTGACATTGTTTGAACATTTATAAGTGTTACTATGATTCGGAACGCGACTTTAAAAAACCTTTTTCAACTAACCAATTCAATGGGCGATCACTTGCTGATAGGAGGACAGGGGAAGTAGCCACATTTACCGTCCCATCTTTCATCTTTCTGAGGCAAGAATGTATTGCCCAAATATCGAGCTCCAGTTTACAGAGAAGACTAGACTGTGAGGCTAATAGACAACTTGCATTGTGGGAGATGACTGTCTTGAATCGGCTCTTCAAGATCATGTCCTTGACAATCAGTAATGAAACGTACAACTTTATGATTGACAACTTCTTGTTTATTGCATAGATCGTTATCAAGATTTAATGTTTCATTTTTGGCTCACCAACTTCTAGAATGCCGATCAAACAATCACGTGAGATCAATGTTCAGCCTCGTTCTCATTCCCGTGAGCTCACGTGCCTCATCGCGCACTCCAGTACGCTGCAGATGCCAATATGTCGTCTGTGACGAGCTGCACGGGCTTGTAAAGGTAAAAACTAGCATCAAGGCTCATATAGTCAAGGACGTGGTTTTAGCACTATATAAAAGGAGTGCTGAAAGGAGTCACTGATGCTAGTTTTTAGCATTACGAGCCCTTGTGTGACGAACCAAGTGTTACACGGCAAAGCGCTAACACGTTTTCGTGTTGATCTTGGTGAAGCTTGGGAATTTAAGTATTTCGGCCGGACATGTCAAACACCTTGCGAAACGAAACTATTGTAGTCTTGTCTTGAGCCTGTTTGGCAATCACAAATGAGAGTCCTTTTTGTTGGTTTGATTACAGCTCATAGTGGGTCGATGGACATTCTCTCGGTACGAACACTGGTCTTGTAAAAGTGGTCGCTGTATAGGTTACACAACACCAAATATTTTCCCATTGACTTCTATAGTAACGTTACATTTTTAATTTTTTAAAGATTAACTAAACCATCAACAACACTTGTACATGTGAGCAGAGTCTTTTCTTAAAGAAGCAGTAAAATATAAAATGGCAACCAGAACCAGTTCCTTTTCCGAGTGCAGGAGCACTCCAAACCCAGTTCCGCACAAAATGTCAACCGCTTGAAAATTCACGTGGTCACATTCTGCATAAGTCATTTTGTCAAAAACGACATAACCAAATATTTAAAAATATGGTCATTTAATTACCGGATGGAGAACACTAAAAAAACAAACCTAAAAAATCTTACACAAAATGACCCAAGTCGCAGCTGTCAGATGATTCAGGCTGCACTGAAGGCTCCTTACGAGGAGTACCTGTTAAACTACGGGATCTGATTTGGTGTAGCATAATCTGTACGAATACTATTCTCCTCATATTGCCAATCCCTGGTTTCGAATATGAATTTTTTATAACTGTAGTGTATGTAGAGTATCTACAGGCTCCCCAGTGTTTTATGAAGGATTTTAGAATAACAAGCTGCATTCAGTTTTAGTGTTATACAATGCACTTTTGGAGGGAGGGAATATGACCTCGCATCGATTTTAGCAAGATCACGGCGGTGGACACCCGAAATTGGCTTCACCGGTTGTATAGGTTGGTAACTGAACTCGGACCTTCGGTTTGACGACTTAACACTTTATGCATTTGGCTAGCCTACCGCCATTGAAAGTCCTTACATCTTTCGTTTATCCAGCTTTGGGTTTCAGATACATAGGATCAGTTCCCATCAGTACATTTTAAATCAATCTGGGCGATTGTAGCCGGGATGGTGCCATCCAGATTATGTACAAAATCGATACATCAATTCTCTCTTATTAACATATTATTCCGAAAAATATACTCAGCATGTCGGTTAATAGGTTCATATCGGGTACTACGATTTGTGTGCTCTTTGTCTGATGAGGAGTTAATCAATTACTGATAGTGGTGTTCCGATGATCGAAAATCGATCGAAAGAAGGAAGGATTGAAAATAATTATATATTGTAACACGTATTTTGAATTAATCGGACTTTTGTTGTTTAAGTATAACACACTTGGATGAAGTAAACTAACCATTAAATTTGACGAATATTCACGAACAAGCATGCGCTCAACAGCGTAAAGCTATGCAATTTGTCAAATTTGTACCACTTTTATTGTTTAATTACAATTCCAGTGTCTCTCTTGCATGCGTGTATTTCATTGCATGACAGTATTAGTTATAAAAACATTAATTAGAAAAAACTGGAGAAAACCCTTAAAAATTGGTGATAACATTAAAAATGTATATTCCGATAAAAATCCATAATCATTCAAGTCCTCCGATAATCGATAGTGGATTTGGTTTCCGATTCCCAACACAAATTACCAATTACCTTCGCTGCGTTTATGTGATAGGGTTTCAGTGTCTGTAATCTGATGATCGCCGCTAAAATTGAGGTGCGGCGTAAAACAATATTCGCTCCTGTATATTGTTAGGTCAGATATGACCGTGGCGGAGTCCAACAAACACAGTGAAAGAAACAACTACACAGTAATACCTCTCGGTTGTTGTCGACACTAAACCTTGACGACCATGGACTGTCACTCTGTGTTTGTCACCGACTTCAGTAACGTGTCTGTGTGTTCTAGGGCGGCATCAAGGCTGTGATCTGGACCGACGTCTTCCAGATGTGCATCATTACGGCGGGGTTATTGGCCCTGATGATCCAGGGGGCCATCAGTGTCGGAGGGTGGCAGGTGGTGCTGGACAGGGTCCGAGAGGGAGGAAAACTGCCTTACTTTGAGTACGTTTTTTGTATTTTTATAAATCCATAAAATATACTCATGGAAACGAATAAGGGAACACATGAAAGTGCAAGTGTTCCTGTATTTATTACCAGAATTTCACCCACAGTGCAATACATACATTGTGAAGAAACCTGGAAAAGAATAAATGAACACTTGCACTTTCACGTGTTCCCTTATTCGTTTCCATGAATATGTGTTTTTTGGTTTTAGAAACATGGACATATGTAGGTTTGGATAAGGTTCGAGTCCCGACATAAGCAGACCAGTCACTCCGTATCAAGTCACTGCGACCTAAAGCCATTCTCTATATTATTTACATTAATGTATTATGGAATTAAAGATCACCGGTCATAGTAGTTGGATACAGTGATTTTACGTGGTCGTTAGTTAAAGCTGGTGCTTGGAATTGGTTTACCGAATAGCTTCTGGCTGCGCTAGGATCAGTTGATTGCTGAATCAACGAACAGGTATCATATTCATGATACTGCATGATTTTTTTTTAATGCAAATTAGTGTTAAATTTAATTTGAACGACCAGAACCGTTTAAATACTGATGTGTGTACTTACATTGCTACATGGTGTATGCTCAGAGCGTGTCATCTTTACTCCGGTCTGTGATCAGTGTGCACACGACATTCATTCTCAGCTCCCTGGGGAATATGCAGCCTACGCTGTCAGTGAGGCGCTAGAAGGTTAACATTCACAATCCCATCCCACCGGGTACCCATTCACTGCTTGGTAAACAGTGGCATATTATGAATACATTCACTCGACTAAAATGTAGTACACGTGCTTCGTAGGTGGTGTGCTTTTGGCCATGGTTCATTAAGTAACTTCAGCGCTGAGGTGATCGTACCGCCTACACGCGATCGTCGAAGCGTGAAAATCGCAATGTTGAGCGGGGGCTCAGGCGATATAAACTCCCAGTCGACCTAGATTATCTTCAATACTTCGTCATTTTGTTATATTTCCATTTCCTAATACATCGGCAATACGAAGTCGTGAGAGTTTTAAACAGGGAACAAATATTCACGAAGACTTCACCTCACTTCCACAATGTCGGCGTACCAACACCACGAGACAGTTCCCAGCTGTCCTGCGCAATCTCCACTGTTTACTCGCTCAGTCTGCAGAAAACCCGATAGTTTTTCACTTTCGTTTATTGTCAAAACAATCAAATAATTTACTTAGATGCTTTCTTTCCTGTTTAACGAAGGAAAAACGTTTGTTTTTCCACTTGAAAAATTTGAATGTTTTTGAACGCAGTTGCGTTTTTTATCTCGTCATCAATGCTAGACAGAGGGACCTTTATTTGTACTTCTGCGTTTGAACAATTCTGTGAATAACATACTTTTGATTCACACAATTTGGACAAGTTTAAGAAAAATAAAAATTAAAAAAACGAAACTTCAGTTTGTGTATAGTCCCCTCTTTTAATTACATCGAGGTGTAAGACCCGAACGCTTGTGAACTTTTAGAGAAATGAGTGAGTGAATATAACTTTTGAATTGTAGCCATGTGACGATGTTCTAATCAATGTGTACGTATGTCAAACAGTTACACAGTCCGAACCTGATGGTATTACATCTACTGTTTATGGTATACTACTCAAGAAATGTTTAGAACACCTTCATTTGAAAAGTTCATCTGCCATGGTTGGTGGCATTGCAACACAGCCTTCCTATCGTTGGTGTTTAATAAACCGTTTTGATTAGTATGTGTGGTTCACTGTTCCGGTTCAAATTCCATCGCCAGGTGGTACACATACTGATGGTGATAAGTTGCGCAACACGTCAAAACAACTGATTTTGTGTTAGACTAACAACTAGTCTCTGAAATTAAAATATTTTACAGATAAAAAAGTGCATAATAAAAATACTAAAATATAATGAAAATGAGCCCTGAGACTTTCTTCATTTTTCAGAAACTGTGGAAATCTAGACTTGCCACATATTCTAGACATGCATGGGCTTTCTTGGGATATATTTGTTTCAGAGTCTGTATGACAGACTAATTTCGGGTCACGTGTATGTTATGCATTGTATTACACATTGGAAACATTGGACACCCGTTAATCGTAATTCCACAATATTCTTACAATATATATATGAATGTACAGATGTGTCAACCTCACCACATCTGAGTGTATATGTTGCCCCTAAGCACAGTACCAATCTGTTGACTATGAAATTGTTATTTACGTTTTGACATGAGCACACTATAGCAGCTGAAAATGCGCAGAAAATTTAGATCTGTTTACTTAAATGAAGATGAAGAGACTTGTCAGGTGTTTGTCCTTGTCTCCAGGTGGAACCCCGATCCGTTTGTACGTCACACATTCTGGACGCTGTCTGTGGGCGGCTTCTTTACGTCACTGACGGTGTTCGCCGCTAACCAGGCCGTGCTACAGCGTTACATGAGTCTCCCCACCACCAAGCAGGCCAAGCTGTAAGTCCACCATACACTCCTAATGCAGTTGCGTCAATACACCTCCAGGTTGTTGGGGTTGGCTAGTGATAGTTGCTAGCCTAATGGTTCCAGTGTTTGCTTGTCGCGCTTAAGGACCGGGGTTCAGATTTCCAGCAGCATCTGATTATTGGTGATTTATCTGGCATTGCGTAAATTATGGGTGGAATTAGCTTTTTAGGATAGATTAGAATACGGTTGGACTAGCTAGATTGCATTTCACACCCGTGATCGTAGGTTTTCTCTAAAGTGGGGTGGGGGTGCGGTGGGGTCCCCAAGCGACATGAGACCAAACTCACTCACTCACTCACTCCGATCAGTATATCCATGGTAAGAGCTAACACAAAGTAACATCTCTGTTTGTTGTCCGGATTAACAGTGTGTGAAAATGGTTTTACGCCGTTTTCAGCAATATCCAGCGGTGGACACCTGATATGGGCTTCACACATCGTACAATGTATGGAATTGAACTCGATTTATTTCCTTAACGAGCGAATGCTTTAACCAGTAGGCTACTACACCGCCTCTTCATTAGTTGGTTTATTGTTTAACACTGCACTGAGCAATATTCCAGCTATATGAAGGCGGACTGTAGATAATCGAGTCTGGATTGGACAATCCAGTGATCAACAACACGAGAGCATTGCTATACACAGCTGGGATACGATGACATGTGTCAACCTGGTCAGCGAGCCTGACCACCCGATCCCGTTAGTCGCCTTTTACAACAAGTATGGGTTGCTGAAGACCAGATGTAACCCGGATCTTCACGGGACACGTGTTCGTGCTGTTGATCCCTGGATTGTCTGGTCCAGACTCGGGTATTTACAGACCACTGCCATATAGCTGGAATATTGCTGAGAGCGGCGTAAAACTAACTAATCTCACTGTATTATATCCCACTATTGTGTATATCTCACGGTAGTTTATATCTGACATTAGTTTTGATCTCACTGTAGTGTATCTCACTATTGTGTATATCTCACGGTAGTTCATATCTGACATTAGTTTTGATCTCACTGCAGTGTATCTCACTGTTGTGTATCTCACTTTAGTGTATCTCACTATTGTGTATATCTCACGGTAGTTTATATCTGACATTAGTTTTGATCTCACTGTAGTGTATCTCACTATTGTGTATATCTCACGGTAGTTTATATCTGACATTAGTTTTGATCTCACTGTAGTGTATCTCACTATTGTGTATCTCACTGTAGTGTATCTCACACTTGTAGTGTATCTCACTATTGTGTATATCTCACGGTAGTTTATATCTCACTGACATTCTCACCTTGATCTCACTGTAGTGTATCTCACTGTTGTGTATCTCACTGTAGTTTATATCTGACATTGTATCTCACTGTAGTGTATCTCTCACTATTGTGTGTATCTCACTGTAGTTTATATCTCATTGGTAGTGATCTATATGTGACATTCACTGCATTTTGATCTCACTTGTAGTGTATCTCACTGTAGTGTATCTCACTGTAGTGTATCTCACTATTGTGTATCTCACATTAGTTTATCTCACTGTAGTGTATCTCACTATTGTTGTATATCTCACTGTAGTGTATCTCACTATTGTGTATCTCTCACGGTAGTTTATATCTGACTATAGTGTATCTCACTATTGTGTATCTCACTGTAGTGTATCTCACTATTGTGTATATCTCACGGTAGTTTATATCTGACATTAGTTTTGATCTCACTGTAGTGTATCTCACTATTGTGTATGTCTCACGGTAGTTTATATCTGACATTAGTTTTGATCTCACTGTAGTGTATCTCACTATTGTGTATCTCACTGTAGTGTATCTCACTATTGTGTATCTCACTGTAGTGTATCTCACTATTGTGTATCTCACTGTAGTGTATCTCACTATTGTGTATCTCACTATAGTGTATATCTCACATTAGTAGTGTGTATCTCACTATTGTGTATCTCACTGTAGTGTATCTCACTGTATTGTATCTCACTATAGTGTATCTCACTATTGTGTATCTCACTGTAGTGTATCTCACTATTGTGTATCTCACTGTAGTGTATCTCACTATTGTGTATCTCACTGTAGTGTATCTCACTATTGTGTATCTCACTGTAGTGTATCTCACTGTTGTGTATCTCACTGTATTGTGTATCTCACTGTAGTGTATCTCACTATTGTGTATCTCACTGTAGTGTATCTCACTATTGTGTATCTCACTGTAGTGTATCTCACTATTGTGTATCTCACTGTAGTGTATCTCACTAGTGTGTATCTCACTGTAGTGTATCTCACTATTGTGTATCTCACTGTAGTGTATCTCACTATTGTGTATCTCACTTTGTGTATCTCACTGTAGTGTATCTCACTATTGTGTATCTCACTGTAGTGTATCTCACTATTGTGTATCTCACTGTAGTGTATCTCACTATTGGTAGTTTATATCTGACATTACTATTGTGTATCTCACTGTAGTGTATCTCACTATTGTGTATCTCACTGTAGTGTATCTCACTATTGTGTATCTCACTGTAGTGTATCTCACTATTGTGTATCTCACTGTAGTGTATCTCACTATTGTGTATCTCACTGTAGTGTATCTCACTGTAGTGTATCTCACTATTGTGTATCTCACTGTAGTGTTTCTCACTATTGTGTATCTCACTGTAGTGTATGATCTCACTATTGTGTATCTCACGGTAGTGTATCTCACTATTGCGTATGTCTCACTACTGTTTATGTCCCCCGTCTTCTCAGGTCTCTGCTCCTCAATCTCCCCCTTGCTGAGATCTTCTTGGCGCTGGTGTGCCTCAACGGATTCGTCATCTACGCCCGCTTCTACAAGGAAGACCCCCTAAAGACCGGCAGCATCACCAAGGCCGACCAGGTGAACACCACGGTCCATACACCCCCGGGGTTTGTCTATCACCATGGGTATCCAGGGGTAAAGAGTGCCCCTTGTGCTTCATGCTTGTCTCCCTATAAACATGTGGATTGCAATGCGGAAAAGTTCAGGTTTCGCCATGCTCATCCGGAGGGTTCGGAAAGTAACTGGTCCCAAGATCCCAAGATCCCCATGCCTTTTCGATGCGAATTCTGAGCATTTCAGAGTAAACATGCACTTCCGTAAGATCAGACAAACTCAAAGAGGACGGATTGAGTATCGACTTACATGATGATGGTGTATGTTACAGATTGTGCCGTTCTTCATGATGGACACACTGGGCTTCATCCCTGGCCTGACCGGACTGTTCGTTGCCAGCGTCTTCAGTGCAGCCTTGAGGTGAGGTCATTGCAGACAGTTCCTGGAAGAACAATAAGTCCTCCATACAAATGTCTGCCTTGAAAGTGCTGGAATAGGGCTATAAACGTTTTGAAACAATACTGACTCACTCGCTCACTGGGGGCGGTGGGGTAGCCTAGTGGTTAAAGCGTTCGCTCGTCACGCAGAAGACCCAGGTTCGATTCCCCACATGGGTACAATGTGTGAAGCCTATTTCTGGTGTCCCCCGCCGTGATATTGCTGGAATATTGCTAAAAGCGGCCTAAAACATGCTCGCTCGCTCACTGCATGCATAGACCGAGTTATTAGCTAAGGTTATAAACTTATCCCCTTATCAGTTTACCTTGTTGTATATCAGTTTGTTCCTATGGCAGTTATGGAGGCGATTTCATTCTGTATAATAATTTTGAGCATGCGCGATCTAGAATTTACATTGAAACTCTACATCACATATTGACCAAGTAGTAAAATCCACGTAAAGTCTATATGCCAGTATATCTTATCACTTACTTGGAAAAGGAACTCCTAATACAGATTCCTGGACGAAAGCAAACTACTCTGTAGGCTTCGGGAAACAACAATGCGTCCCCCCATAAACGTGGTCCAGAATTCACGTTGGTTGAAATAAGCATGCCTAATATCAGTGATAAGGACTGGTGTGTTGGGTTTTAATATTGTTTATATAGAGCATATGGTAGTTGTAGTTAATGGTAGTTTCTGCCGTCTGTAGCACGGTGTCTTCGGGCATCAACTCTCTGGCTGTTGTCACCATCGTGGACTTCGTCAAGCCTGCCCTAGACAGGTTCCGATCTGGCCGGACCTCAGCTCGACTCATCGCCATCCTCTCCCTAGTCACTGGTAGGTAGAGTCAGTCAGAACGTAATCCCCCTCTTCGCCATCATCAACTTTGACACATGTAATGTTTTTGTGTATTGTGCTTGATTAGTACTCTTGTGTTTATAATGTTGAACCTTAGGCTACAGTGAATTAGTCGTTACTCCTAGCCTAAGCACTCTTGGTGAGTTGGGTGGTGGAGGCTCTGTAAGGGAGTGGATATTCCTGGTGGAGGCTCTGTCAGGGAGTAGATATTCTTGGTGGAGGCTCTGTCAGGGAGTAGATATTCCTGGTGGAGGCTCTGTCAGATATTCCAGTGGAGGCTCTGTCAGGGAGTAGATATTCCTGGTGGAGGCTCTGTCAGGGAGTGGATATTCCTGGTGGAGGCTCTGTCAGGGAGTGGATATTCCTGGTGGAGGCTCTGTCAGGGAGTGGATATTCCTGGTGGAGGCTCTGTCAGGGAGTGGACATTCCCGATATTCCAGGGAGTGGTGGAGGCTCTGTCAGGGAGTGATATTCCTGGTGGAGGCTCTGTCAGGGGTGTATTCCTGATATTCCCGGTGGAGGCTCTTGTCAGGGAGTAGATATTCCTGGTGGAGGCTCTGTCAGGGAGTAGATATTCCTGGTGGAGGCTCTTGTCAGGGAGTAGATATTCCCGGTGGAGGCTCTTGTCAGGGAGTAGATATTCCTGGTGGAGGCTCTTGTCAGGGAGTAGATATTCCTGGTGGAGGCTCTGTCAGGGAGTAGATATTCCTGGTAGAGGCCCCGTCAGGGAGAGGTCACTTGGGGGTATGTGCGCTATACTGACGGCACGTTTATTTTGCAGCTATCAGCTACGGTGTAATAACGACAGGTGTGGCCTACCTCGCGGGACAACTTGGCTCCACGGTGTTGCAAATTGCTCTCAGCATATTCGGCATGGTTGGAGGGCCACTACTGGGCATCTTCGTCAACGGGATGTTCTTCCCGTGTGTCAATGCTTGGGTGAGTTTACAGAGGAGTGGGTGAGTTTTCAGAGCCGTGGGTGAGTGAGTTTTAGACGACTGATCCAGTTTACTCATCATATAATACTGTTTTCAACCTTCATTTGGTTGTGTAAAACGCATTAAATTCCATTGCTTACATCTGCTTTGATATAAGTATCTGAACTTGTGTACAAAGCGTAATTTCTGCGACTTACTCAGGGATGCATTTTTTGGAAGACCAAATCGTAGTGAAGACTATTGCGGGGGAAAGAACTACTGCGATTTCTATTGCAATATGCTTTTGCGATAGTGATAGTCTATTGCGACCCACTATTGCAATACTATTGCAAGAAAAACAAAATCTCCTTGAATTGTCTCATTTGAAGTCATTTCCCAAATGAATGTATAGTTTATGTGAAATGAAAACATGTTGAAGTAGTTTTAGTCACTTTTAATGAGCGACAAGAAACAAACCCTGATCATGCAAACAGTTACAACTGGAGTGAGTATGGTTTTACGCCGCTTTTAGCAATATTCCAGCAATATCACGGCGGGGGACACCAGAAATGGGCTTCACACATTGTACCCATGTGGTGAATCAAACCCGGGTCTTCCGCGTGACAAGCCAACACTTTAACCACTGGCTACCCCACCGCCCCGTTAAAACTGGAACTTAATGAAGCTGCAAGTCTGCTTCCAAACATCCTGTATTTCGTGCTGCGCATTTATCAACGGAAGTCAATGCATCGATGCATCGATAGCGTTTCGTTTCGAACCATCGATTAATTGCTATCGGAGATTCAAGAATTGCAATGCATCGATAGTTCGGTGCATCGTTACAGCCCTACCTACCATTTAGCCCTCCTTTTAAACCAGCCTTATGACTATCAAAATTCCTGGTGTGAGACCCTCTGACCTGCCGAGCAATCTAACACTTATCGCATGTATAACCATGTACCTAGATATGAATATGTTTACCTGTCAACATATCTCATGTATTAGACCCGATAGGCATGTTATAAACTAGCTTTTGTAGCTATGTCAAATAGTCTCATCAAGTCACCCAGTCTTAATGCAAGTACGACTCTGTCAACAATGTCGCAGTTGTTGTGACAAACGCGTCATGCCCATGCATTTGTTGAAGGGACATTTTTCATAAACATTAGAAGCTGTGCTTAAAGCTGAAACCGTTGTACGATTGGGTCTGAGTCTAGACCAGACAATCTTATGATCAACATCATGAGCATCGATCTACACAATTGGGATGCGATGACTTGTGTGAAAGTCAAATGTTCACCCCAAAATGTGGGCTCATACCGTAAGGTCAAATGCACATTTTTTGTGACTTAGCTAATGTTGTCCACCATGTTTTCTGTACAGGGAGCGGCCTCAGGACTGGTGTGCAGTCTGTCGGTGTGCATGTGGCTGGGAATTGGCGGAGCCATGTACCGAGCAAAACATGTCGTCAGCTCCCACTACTTCAACAGCACCAACGTCATCACATTTACCAACGCCAGCATCAACACAACACATACCGTTTTACAATTTGTCAACACAAACACATCATTGTATGTCAATCATACTTTGGGTAATTCAACAGCCAAATACGTCAACGACATGACGACGACGTTGCCATCGCCCACGAATGTTACGGGAACAGATGACGGTGCAGCAATGACGACTGGGTAGGTAACGTTGCTTTAAGGTGAAAACTACCATTTGAACATCGCCACCGTTTATAGTATCTCCGTGGGACCGTTCATAATTTATGACGGTGGTGGGGGGTGTTTGTGGTGATTTTTATGGAGAAGCGTGTACAATGTGACTGACAACCCCCCCAAAAAGTACAAAGTAACCCCCAACCCCCACCCCCCATTCCTACATGTCATGTACAAAATCAATTAGGTCACATAACATTCGATATACATTTGACATACTCTTAGAATCTGTTTTGCATATCATGGGTATATATGAATGTCCTTTTCAAAAGCGGCCTAGTAAAGTTTAAAGGTCATACAATGGTATTGCTTAAATCATGATAGCAGATTCCTGTGTTGTCAAGGCAGCGAATGTAGTTCTAACTGGCAGGGATGGAGATGGGGCGTTGAATCTTTTAATGTTGTACAAACCATTAGTTCCAGGTATATGGAGTACAGTTAACCTGATACATCCTCACCTTCTGAACCAGCCATTACAGCACACAGGTGGTCTTCAGTAACCCATGCTTATCAAGAGGCGACTAACTGGATCGGGTGGTCAGGCTCGCTGATTTGGTTGACACACGTCATCGTATCCCGATTGCGCAGATCGATGCTCATGATGTTGATCAGTCGATTGTCTGGTCCAGACTCGATTATTTACAGACCACTGCCTTATAGCTGGACTATTGCTGAGTGTGGCGTTAAACAACAACCAAACAACTTGCACGGGGAGGCAAGCACACGCACGCACACTCACTCACGCACGCACGCACGCACACGCACGCGCGCACATACACACACACCACACACACACACACAACAACAACAACCTATTCTCCCAATGAAGGTTGGTTCAAACCAATGTAACTGTTTATCCACAGACTGGACGCGTTCCTGTCCAAGTGGTACAGCCTGTCCTATCTCCACTACGCCACTGTTGCCCTCACCGTGTCGGTCCTGGTAGGCGTCCTGGTCTCTGCATGTACAGGTGAGGAACAGGTTACCGGAAACACGCCACCCTCCGCACTCTAAGATATTACTCTACCATTACGTTTCGATAAATAACCTCGAACCATGAACCAGCACACGAGCACGCTGAGCATGACACTTCCCCTTGGGTCGATGTAGATGTTTGGAAAGGACTTAAATCCCAGGGCTGGACTATTAACAGACGAGCATCAAGCCTAGCCCACCCTGAAATGCTAAAGCCCTGAATAAAGCAAGTCAGATTTCCTCAGGCTCCCATCTTACTGGGGCTCCTTTTTAATGTAAGTGTCACCATCCAAAAATATATATATTCAGAGACTAAGCGTTTGTCTAGATTATAAGTTGCATGTGGAACACACAACATCAAGCATTAAGAGTGTCTGGTCTAGACTCTAGACAGGATTATTTTACAAGCCTCCGTCCGGTAGCTGGGGAACTGCAGCGCGATCTCACACAGGTTCTCCCTGTTGTATGGCTTGACTGGTATCCTGTCTATCTGAGCGAGTTGACAGGTGTGGCTGATTTATTCGTAGGCAGCGGCTCAACGGCACATAGCACTCTCAAGTCTTCGGTATCGAATGATAATAAATAGCGAACAACGTAAACTACCTCTCAGATTATCAGAAAAACGGTTTGTTATGTAGACATGTGCAGTAATCTAACCACCCTCTCTTTTTTTATCCGCCTTATAGCTGGAATATTGCTGAGTGCGGCGTAAAACTAAACTCACTCACTCACTCTCTTTTTTATATAAAATAGGTACGAAAACACTACAGGTATATGCTTTGAAAAAAATTCCGCGTATTCAAATGGTAATTGTGACATCTGTTACGCTGATTAAAACAAAAGCAAAACTGAAATTGAAATCTGGTAACAATTTACTTGCAATCTGAGAGGAATACTCATTTACAGTGCCAGAATGTACAGTCACCATGACTTATATATACACAAAGAACATAATTAAGCACCCCCTGTATTTTAGCAATGATAGGTTTTCCACACGTACATAAAACTTCTTTCGGTGACCACGATGGAAAAACATGAGTTTTTCTGACCCGTATGATCCTTTGACTCATAAAAAACGACAACATGATTGGAATCCATGTTGATTTTATGATGATAATTGCACATTAAAAACACACACTGATTTTCATACAAAACCATGTCTGTACAACTATGGCCCTGAAATTTTTAATGTTGAATTTATTGGTGAATGTGAACATTCAAAATGTCATTTTGCGTGTCTTACACGATTCAAGGTCTGTACCGAGTGTAACCTCCATGTGACTGTATGCCAGCCAGCACTCTCCTCCTCATACCCCCTGTCAGCCTCCTGATCCTCTGAAGGGGCTGCAGTCTACGTCATTCCTAGTGTAAAACAGCTTCCAATTGTGCTCGGTTCTGTACAGGAGCATCCCTTTGTTGCACACGACGACCAACCATGTTCTTTGTATGCTCCGAAGGGTTAGGATCGGGGCTCATTCAAACGTGAGATATGTCAGGGGGTGCTTAACTAAGTTCTTTGTGTATATGTATAGTGAATAAACTAGTCCATCATAAGAGTTCATTTTAATGTTTTCTCTATCTGTTCGTTTATATTTAGGTTTTAATAAGAAGCGATACGTGGATAGAGACACATATTATGACATACTGAGTTGTTGCAGATCCAAGACAGACAAAAAGGTGAGTAATTGTATTGTAAAAATAAAATCAGCAGTAGTCCCTCAATTTAATTAAAATTTCACCTTCCCCTGTTGACAAACCAAGAATTGTGACAATTGGATATCAAAAGTGTCAAACCATCCCAATACACGTGTGCTATACATCCGTGAGGTTCCGGGTTAGAATTGTTCTTCAGTAACCCAAGCTTGTCGAAAAAAAAAATGACAAGGGATCGGGTGGTCAGGCTCGCTGATTTGGTTAACATATATCATCGTATCCCAATTACGTCGATGGATGCTCGGATGTTGATCACTTGATTGTCCAATGTAGACTCGATTAATTACAGATCGCCGCCATATACTGGTAATTGCAATATTGCTGAGTGTGGCGTTAAACTACAAACAAAACCTGTGTTATACAAGTTGGAATGTGGATCTGTCATGTCGTTTGTTTGTTTATTTAAAAGGGTTTGTTTTGTTGCAGTACGACCTTAATTCGTATGGGATTACTGATTTGTCGCACCCTGACACGAACGGCAAGAAGACAGAGCTAGTCAACCTCCGCGAGACCAGCATGAATTCCCACGAGTCTATACACGACGGTTCCAATGTCTGACAGAGTCGACGTGTTAGACAGTTTTAGAATTTGTTTCCGACAAAAATATATGTACAGTTATTACAGAAAACGCAGATCGTTATGCTCAAACCAGACATAAGTAAATTGGAAAAAAAAACCCACAAGATTTACTGTCTCAATCAGTAGAATACATTAAAACAAGTAAACGTAAAAACAACGAATTGTAACGAATCTTTACTCCTCCGCATCCAAATATTTCTCCTGAGTACTCCTTCAGGAAAAACGGAAATGTGAAAATATATTTGTTAGACTCTTTATTTGGTCCACAATGACACAAATCTGGCATTATATGTTTTGTTGCTTATATGAGGTGCTGGGAATCAGAGCATAAGTATGTGATAACTGCTATATTAGCCAGGCGACTTGTCTGAATTTGGGAAGTGGGATTCTAGTTTATATTTGATCATCTTTGAAGTGTTCATACATTCAGAGAGAAATATGTTTATATTAGTGTGTCAGTTACATGTGTTTATCACTTCAGACCAGCGTGCCTTGACGAACACGTGGTTGTAGGGAACAAACAGGGTATACCTCTACATCACGCCATACCCACCTGTCATGTGCTGCCATTGTCCTAATCACGTTCAGTCACGCGTTCAATGTTATGCCGATTGAATACACCTAGCATACAATGCATATGTATAAATGTCTGGAGGACACTAAAGTTTTAATATGTATCGGGATATTTATGGTCAAAGTCATGTAATGGCGATCGACAAGGTTACATTTAGACTGAGATAATATGTATCTCTGATATGCTCACATTTATGCTCACCACACTCCCTTTGCTGTTTTGTCTGCCATCACCTTCCTTATCTAACCACCACCGCCATATAGCTGGAATATTGCTGAGTGCGGCGTAAAACTAAACTCACTCACTCACCCTTATCTAACAATGAATCCTTTTTTCTGCCATCACGTTTTGTATCAGGCTTTAATTCCTTTGCTATATCTATTAATCTTGCATCTTGTATAAGTTGCTTCTTCATTCCTGTATTCCCTTTCGGGGTCTGCATGTCCTTCGGTTTGTGTTGTGTCCACGGAAATTATTAAACCTGGAAATAGAACTGGAAATCCATACACCTATACGATACCATTCATGGTAGCTTTGCGGAGTTACCTCCCTTGTGCGTGTCAGAAACGTGTTGGAATACCAGTTCATCTCTACTGTTTCTTCGTTTACCATCACAATACAGGTGCTTACGGGTTTCACCTAAGTGGTAGAGGCCAGTGTCACCTTTGTCATTCCACTCACTCACTCACCGAGAATCAGGGACATAAGCTACCACCTAGACTGATGACCGGTTCATTTGCTTTGTACCAAAGCCCTGAATTGGTCAATGTGTTGCACTGTAATTTGTTAGTTACTGTTTGTGAAAGAGACGCCGTGCTTTGTATTACGTAGTCATTTAGTCATGTTTTAACATTCATTTGCAATGCCAACCTAGTCCCGTGATAGGTAAACAGTGTATCGTCGTGTATTTCGTTTCAAGGTAAACAGTATGTTGACATGTTTTTCGTTTCTAGGTAAGCAGTATTTTGCTATGTATTTCGTTTCTAGGTAAACAATATATCGCCATGTATTTCGTTTCCAGGAAAGCATTATGTTGCCATGTAATACGTTTCCAGGAAAACAGTATGATGTCATGTGTTTCGTTTCTAAAACTTCCGGTGCAGAGTAGTGTCCCTTAACATACCAGGATCCGACTGGCGTCTATTCGAAAAAGGACTCTATAGTTGTTGGCCATATCCGTACTTGTGTTAATGTCTCTCGCCTTAGTCACTTTGGTCTCTCTCCACAAAGAAGCTGAGAGGCTCTAATATCTCTGAAATGCCGGTTAAAGTAGCGTTTAAATCACTCTAGAGTTGACACTTGTATTGTAAGAGGGGGCGAGTAAAAGCAGGAACCAAACACTTCCGGAAATACCTCCAGTCGGATGGTGGTGGTGGTGGAATTGGGTTTAACGTCGTGCTTGAGAATATTTCGCTCATATAATAATAATAATAGTGGGTATTTGTAACCGCGCCTATATCCGTGCATTCAATGCTCGCTCAAGGCGCTACAGCACACATATTATTACCCCGGATAACCCAAGCTGCCTGTTAGGCGCTAGAAGGTTATAGTCACATGACTTATCCAAACGGGTACCCATTTTCCTGCTGGGTGAACAGAGACAATGTTGAACAAACTCACTTGCCTAAGGTGAGACCACATGTGTCACATGTGCTTCGTTGTGGGGCAGGACTGAAGTCCTAGAAACTCTCAGGAGCCAAGCTGCCAAGCACGGTCACCCATCCAAGGACTCTCCGAGCTCGACGGTGCTTAACTTCACCGATTTGTGACCTGAGCTTTGAGCACAGGACCACGCGCCACCATGCATGCGTCCAGTCGGAGGGTCCACCTTTCAACTCATATAAAAATGAGATAAATGCCCAGTATGTGTTAACAATACTGTTCTGTCATCGTAAGTATTCACTATTCCGTGCCTCTAACTCTATCCAAATAGTATGTGATGCCCGTTTGCGTTTTATTTGCTAAGTAGGTTGTGGTTGTGAACAATTCTGTTCTTGTGTGAGTCGTGTGTATCAAGATGGTTGCAGCTGGGTTCGTGTCCAGTTTATCAGCTTAATTTGCTGATCTATTGGGAAATATAAACATATCGACAAACATATTTAACGCGCTTGCCAGATGTATGAAGACTGAATGACAATGAATCATTCAATTGTTGTGAAACTGTGTAATGTCCGTAGGGCTTGTACCAAGTCGTTCAGTACGAGCATCTGTTACTGAAGATTAGATGAAGCTATCGAACACTTGCATCCTGACCAGCCGCTGTGTACCAGACTGGTCTGTTTGTCATTCCATGTGTAAATACTTGTGTCGGTATCTTGAACGAGCGGTGAACAACATCATGTGTTGCTAGAATTGTTGCTGTAGAATTTATTTTTGAAAACTTGGTTTGCAGAATTATATGTATATGAAAGACAGTTGTGTGTCTTAGCTTCGTGATCAAATAAACAGATAGCTTTTTGAGTGGGCTTCTGTGTCTAACTATGTCGGCTATTCCACAAACGTCCGCTAATTGGTCAACAGTTTATGTTGTTGAGAGAGGTACGAAGCACGTCGTAGTCACCGGTCTTCAGCAACTCATGCTTGAAAGAAGAGAGTAAGGAACGGGGTGGTCTGGGACGCTACCTTGTCTGGTGCTTGTCATGACACGCAATCCACCTCGTCAGGGCGCCATAACACACTATCAACCACGTCGGGGTACCGTGACAAGCCCCCGAATGCGTCGCTGTACCATGACACGCCCCCAACCAGATCGGGGTACCATGACACGCCAACAACCACGCTGGGACACCTCGACACGCCCCCAATCACTTCGGGGTACCATGAAACGTCCCCAACCACCTCCGGGTACCATGGCATGCATCAAATCACTTTGGGGTACCATGACACACCTCCAACCACTTCGGGGTACCATGACACGCCCCCAACCACTTCGGGGTACCATGACACACCTACAGCCCCTCAAGGGTAACATGACACGCCCCCAACAACTTCGGGGTACCATGATACACCTCAAACCACTTCGGGGTACAATGACACACCTCAAACCACTTTGGGGTACCATGACACACCTCCAACCACTTCGGGGTACCATGACACACCTACAGCCCCTTCAGGGTACCATGACACGCCCCCAACCACTTCGGGGTGCCATGACACACCTCCAACCGCTCCAGAGTACCATGACGCCCCCAACCACTTCGGGGTGCCATGACACGCCCCCATCCACGCCTAGACACCATGACACGCCTCCAACCAGATTGAGTGAGTTGGTATGATTTTGCGCCGTGTTTAGCAATATCACGGCGGGGACACCATAAATTGGCTTCACATATTGTACCCATCTGGGGAATCGAACCTGGGTGTTTGGCGTGACGAGCGAACGCTTTAACCACTAGGCTACCCAACTGCCTCGGTAGTTGATTGAGAGCACCACATTGGACGAGCAGGGTAACTGTGGAATCTTTTGCTGTGGGCCTTACACGATGTTGGAGATAAGTGAACAAAAACTTGAGCAAATTGTTTCGCAATGACAAGTCTCTGAAATATGCCGGGTTCTGTGACAACGGACAACCACCTGGAACGTGCAGTTATCAAGTACTTGCCGAAACACCAAAAGGTCACTGATCTAAATCTGCTATTGAACTCTTGACACGTACTAAATATGATGACTGTTATTTCGAGTTTGATGAATAAATAAAAAATTATTAACCATGTATACTTTACTAATAACCCATGTGGAACAAATATAACAAGAAACATTATTGAAATGTTTGTTTGCTGTTGAACGCCGCACTCGTCAATATTCCTGCTAAATGGCGGCGGTCTGTAAATAAACCAGCCAGTTTGTAATGCACGGGAAACTTGCCTCCGTCACGGAATATTTACATTCATAGGAACACTGGAGGTTTTATTAATATTTTGCAAAAAATAATGAACATGTTATTCAGTGTTATTGTGTTTGTATTAACTGGAGCATTTATGTATGATCAGCAGCTAAGAATTCTATATACGAGAGCACGTGTTACCTAATGGAGTACTAGTTACTGCCAAAGGCAAATCAACATATCTGGCGAGAAGTCCTAATCGCTGACTCAATGGCTATCATTAAGTGTTTCCATGGAGGCGGCAAAACCCTTTCCACATTCATAAGAAATCCCTGCCAAAAGCAGAGTCGACTGAGCAGCTGTGACTATATCATGAGCAGATCGTTGTTTCCGCAGTATTACAGCTGTATGATGTTTGTAAACACATCGGGTCTGAACCAGACAATCAAGTGATTGTCCCCGTGTGAATACGATGACAGAGCAGGGTTTATGAATCACTATGAAATAGTGATGATACCAGGTGTTCGCGAAAGGTGAGCGTATCCTGCCCCTCTGGTGGCACCCGTCATAAACGTATGATATTTCTAGTCATCTGTTCACCAGCAATAACTCGGGAACGTATGGTATAAGTCAAAATGGGGAACTGCATCGGACATTATTTTTGGCACTGATGCATCAAATGTGGAAATCAATTTCATCCACAGGTCTACCATAAAACCTATTGAAAGCTACACTGAGGCCTAGAATGTTGTAATCTTGATCAAGCAACTTCTGAGCAAGAGTGGCATGACGCTCTTTCAAATCCTAATAAAGACCACGCTTGATTTCCCCAAAAGTTGTGAAACAAAACACCAAAGGCTGGAATATAGCTCGACAATGAAAGGGAAGGAGTTGACTATAGGATAGTCGGGATCATCCCTTTTGTCATACAGCTTTGTGGAGACAATTTTGTCACTCTGAATATTTATGCATAGATCTAAATATGAAACAGTTGAGGCGGTCTCACTTGTCTCCCTATTTTTCAAGTTCAGGTGGGTAAATCAGAGGAAGGCAACTGGCTATTTGATGGTTATTGAACGATATTAAATCATTGGTGTACCGAAAGCTTAGGATACACAAATTACCTTGTTTTGATTTTGCCAACCCAAACAGAAATTCTGATTCATATGCATAAAGAAACAGATCCGCAAGGAGGGGAGCGCAATGGGTGCCCTTGGGTATGCCTACTTCCTGTTGAAATGATTTACCCCAAAATTTTACAAAGATTTTATCAATGAGAAAGTCCAGCATTTCACATATTATTTTCTCGGTAAACTTCAATGATATTTGCTTTCAGTTTTGACATATTGTCCTGGACCTCTGAAGACAGATATGTAGGTGCATCTTTGTTCACCGCGTTTGTTTACAAAAACCCTATGAATCAAGGAATGAAGTTTTTCCTTAGGTTTGTTATGGGGATAGTGATATACAATGTTGAAACATTGAACAACCTGGGTGAAATCATGTTCATATAGGAGAACGATATTGTTGGTATTTCCTGACATCTGAAATATTTTGGCACATTTGGGGAAACTGATTTTTGACTCAGAATGTTGTTTGTATTTATAGCATCAGTTCCCTTTAAATATTGGGGTTTTTTGCTGTCTGCTGATCCACCTATCAGCAAAAGTTGCTGGAATCGTTTAATTTCTTTCAATGACAAAGAGTAAAGTCTTGTTCTAACTCTGTGCAGTCCCAATGGTTCCTGCAGGAGAGGACCGCCTCCGTGGTGTAGTGGTTAGAGCGTCCGCCCGGAGAGCGGAAGGTCGCGGGTTCGATCCCCGACCGCGTCAAACCAAAAGACGTTAAAATATGGTACTTGTTGGTTCCTGCCTGGCGCTCGGCATTAATGGGTACAACAATGACTGGTCGGCTCGGAGTCAGTATAATGTGTCTGAGTGGGGTATTCATGCTTCACTGCGGCATGATATGTCAGTGGGCTAGCACTATAAAACCAGCTTAAGTCTGGGCTAGTACAAGCAGCCGCACATACACATACACACGCATGCACGTCGTCATATGAGCGAAATATTCTCAAGTACGACGTTAAACCCAATTTCACCTCACCTCACCTCCTGCGGGAGAGGCAGCAACTCTTCCAAGTGAATGGTATCATTTGGCCTTCGTCCCTTCTTGTGACACCAGCAATACTTTGTTTTAAATCATTACCTTTCTTTCGGTAATATTTCGAAGATAAAACCAAATGATGCTCACAAGAGTGAAACCAGCTATACAAAACGCACAGCAGTCGACGTAGACGACCTATTACCCGCCTTTACTTCAGCTATAAAGAGAGAGAGATAAAATGTCAGATTCTCGATGAATGTGGACTTATATATGTTCGGATATGAACGTGTGAAGAGGGCTGCATCAAATCTCCAATTGAGACAAAAGGGCATGACAGTTTCGGGTAGCCAAGTGGTTAAAGCGTGCGTTAGTCACGCCCTAATTTCGGGCTCGATTCCGTATATGGGTACATGTCTGGTGCCCCCCGTCGTAATATGGCTAGAAGAGGCTCACTCACGAGAGTTTCGTCAATCTATAAACTATAATAATAGTGGGTATTTGTAACCGCGCCTATATCCGTGCATTCAATGCTCGCTCAAGGCGCTACAGCACACATATTATTACCCCGGATAACCCAAGCTGCCTGTTAGGCGCTAGAAGGTTATAGTCACATGACTTATCCAAACGGGTACCCATTTTCCTGCTGGGTGAACAGAGACAATGTTGAACAAACTCACTTGCCTAAGG